CCATGCAGGTGTCTCAAACACAAAAGCTTGCTTCATGAAAGCAAAGTCTACAGCAAGATGAAATTCTCAGTCTGTAGTAACCTAGTCACAAAAAATAGCATTCTATCTCCTTACCTATCCTACCCACTAGAAACAAGTTCTAGCCTCTTTTAAGCAGTGGGAATTCCCCAAGGGTGTCATTAGGCTGGATCTATTCTGAGGGCCATCTTAGGGTCTACTTGCTACAGCTCTGCTGCACAGCCTTTAATCTTCTCCTTTGTTTTCAGGGAAACATAGCAGGTGCTTGCAGCCTGCAGAAGATCCTTAAAATATAACCCTGAATCTCTCTGTGGCATCTGGTAGCCTGGAGTACAAAGTTGGCCAACTGAAATTGCTTTGTTGATATGAAACTTTGTATTCTGTGAGCAATGCAGTGGGGACAATGGGGAGCTGGAAGTACCTAGCTAAGGGCACCTATCACTGTCCCTCAGGGAGTAACAATGTGATGTGCCAGAACCAGGACAACCCTGACTTCATATGGAGGTGTCAACTGTGAGCTGGGTCAAAAGACATTTTTTGGTGGCATGCTAATGAAATTGGTATATATTTCAGCTGGCGTTGTTAATGCAGAGGAAGACAGAGAGCTGCCTGGTCTGAAGAAAGCTTATTGCCAGGCAGAAGTCTCCACCATCCAAAAAGATAGCATGCCTATTGGGAGGTTGGATGAATCCAGAAAGCTCCTTAGAAAGAGCAAAAGTGTGATTCTGACTGATGTGGATAAGGCAGTGTGTGATGGAACTGAAATACAATCTTCCTAGCACTTCTTCTAACTTTGAGTAGATTTTCCAATTTTAAATAAATAGTTTGGAGTCATGATGAGCTAGCAAGTGAGTCTGTCAGCCATGTGGCAACCAGTTACTAGCATGACCCATGCAAGCTAGAATTCACTCCTGCTGAAGCTAGCACATGTCAGGTCTACACGATGTGCCAAGCATGACCCTATGTGGCCCAAGAGCATTCTCTCCTTGACTTCTCACAGCGGTGCTGAATTGGGAGCCTGTGTCATTATCATTTCTAATGTAGCACAGCTGATATCTGAACTCAGATTCTTCCATCCTGATCCAAAAAAAAAAAAAGCCCAGAAAGACCTCTTATACCCTTCCCCTTAATTGCATTACTATACAGATGTAGCCACACAGACATGGAGAAAAGAAAGAGCTTCCCAACGCTTATAGAGAGGGTAGACAACAGAGCTTGAAATAGTACTAAGACAGAAAGTTTCTTTAACTATTGCCTTGTGCCATGAGCTTTGCTCCCAAAAAGAAATGATAGGGGCCTTACTTTATTAGAACAGTCTAAGATGTGCATTGGATGTCCAGAACCTAGAGTGGTCAGACCATGTCAGAGAATGCATGAGATAATGATTAAGAACTGAATCCTTTGTGAAAGATCAGAAGGTTCCCCTTACACACAAACACTACAGTCTGGAAAGCACGAAATAAAATATAAGCTCTTGAGAGGCAAGTATGGCCCACTCTCAACTCCTAGTGATGATCATCCAGTAGTTTGTTGAGGAAAGGAGGGACATCATGATAGAGGAGGTGACTGATATGAGCTTCAATAAAGAATACTACATAGGGATGGTGACATAAATGTGGACATTTTCCACCTCTTTAGCTCAGAGGCATGGCAAGTCTTCCTTCGCCTCCATTTCTGAGAAGTGGCCTGTGTCCTCCTGTGTGCTGCCTGGAGGAGGTCTGGTACTGAGCGAACCTAGACAGGACGCACTGGGCCTTATACTGATCACTGGGGTGACCCTTCTGCGCCTCTACCTGACTCCTCCAGCTCCACCTTGGCTGAAGGTTAATAGAGGATGAGAAAAGAGTACTGAGGGAGACACATGGACGAGACAGTGGGCATGAGGATCGCCTTGACACTGACCAGTATTGCTCTCAATCACAGCCTAGTACTGTAGACAGAAAGACCCTGGGGGACTTCCATGGGGAACTCTGTCAAAATCTCTCCTTCTGAGCCTGAAGACCAGAGGGGAGGGAGAGGATGTGATCACAGAGTGGAAGGTGGGAGGGAAGAGAAAAAGTGGAGGAAGAGACATTGGGATGAGTGAGATAGTGAGAGGGAAGGGGAGGGGCAGTCAGGGCTATGGAAGGGGAGCCCAAATTGGAAAAGGGCAAAGGAGGGAAGGAGAAGAGGGCTCAGTGAGGCATCCAGAATTCACAAGACAGGAAGGAAAGTGGAGGGCAGGACTGTTGCTGCCCAGATACATCTGGCCTCTGTCGTACAGACTGACTGCTGAAATAGAGTTCTTTTAAAGACATTTTGAAATTTTCAAGAAGCTGAAAATAAAAAGTCTCCTCTTCTCAGGGTTAGAAGGGCTTCCTAGATGATTTCCATTTCGTAAATTACTGGTCTTTCTCCAGTTTTAGAAAGTAGATCCCAATAACCCTGGTGAGGAAGGACGTGCATAACCAGTTTGTGGTGGTTGACTGCCCCCTGCTGGCAGTGTCCAAATTCTGCATGCTATGGGCTGTTAAGAACTAGGTTGAAACTAGGTTTAACTAGGTATGAGTTAAAGCTGAATACCCCACCTTCTCTCCCAGACTGTCCAGGATATCATACTCTCACAAACTCTGAACTTAGATTTTTATTGACAAAATGTGGAATTTCACTTGGACCTCAAGTGCATCAGATCCACATGAAGCATATCTTCTCAGGCCCAAGGCCACTCCAGAGATTTCTAACGTCGGTTTTCAGTGTTTCCCTAGCAACAAGATCCTCAGTGTGGTCCTCTTACTCGTCCCCATCACCCTGCAGGAGGATTCTCTTTCAGGAGGCTCTTGTCAACTCCTCACCCCTCTGGTATTGCCAGCCAGGACATCAATCCCTGACCACTGCCCCTGTTGAACTGACTCTGTCCACAGATGTAAAATCAGATGCCTCCACTGTCCATAGTTGGTATGTGCAAGGATGCCCTGTGAATGCCCAAATGGAAGATAAAACCAAACTGTTCGTACTGTATTTTTCTATATATACTGCTTGCCAATGGTAATGGTTCATTTACAAAGTGAGCACAGTAGAAGATTAATGGCAATAACCAACATAAAGTAGAACACTTACAGTAATAAATTGCAATGAAATAATTTAGTATCCATCCATGGCTGATTTCTGGAGTTGGCATTTAGTAATTTCAGACTAGGCTAACAATGAATGACTAAAACCACAAAAGGTAACGACAGATAAAGGGACTCTGTTATATGTAGATATCGTGTGTGTGTGTGTGTGTGTGTGTGTGTGTGTGTGTATGCATGTCTGTATTACTAAGGATTGAAACCAGAAATTGATATATGCTAGATCAGTATTCTACCAATCCAATAACCTGTATGTGTGTGTCCATGTGCGCCTGTACCTATGTGTGTGCATTTATGTGCTCATGTTTGTGTGAAAAAAGTGTGTGTGTTTGTTCTGTATCTTCAATGCCAGCAACAAGGAATTACTGAAGTCACTTTGATGCCTTCTTTAAGCGACTGTGGGTTACTTAGAGCCCTGAGCCCTGAGGTCGTCACTGGGTACAGACAGGAGCTGGTACATTCTCTGCTGCCCAGGAGTGGAGTTGGACAGTCCAAGCAACCCAGACCACATGGTCATCCAACTCTGAAAGTTAGATGCACTTGACAGATTCCTATCCCACACTGAATTTTCTATCACTCTGTCTCACAAATTGCCGCTATCTTGGTGGATCGTAATGATACCATTTCTCTCTGTAGCTCACAGTTTCTGAGCATCAGTGGTCTAATTCGGCCCTGTGCTGAGGCTTCAGAGAGCATCAATTGAGGATTGGAGGGCTGTGTTTCTTTCTGGATGATTGATGACCAATTCTTGGTGCTTTAGGTCAAGTCCTACTTTCATGTTATCAGGAACTGGGAGCAGAGGTCAGATCCCATGAGCCACGGCAGCACTTTGCCACCTGTAATCCTCACAGGCCCTTTACAATGCTAGCAAAGGGTAGTCTAGCTTTAGTCTGAGTAGATGGGACCCATGCAGTGTGACACAGTCACAGGCATGACGATAACAAAGCAAGCAAAGAAGGAATGAGTCTTGGGGTCTGCTTGTGCTCAAACGAGGCAATCATTCGAGGGATGGAGTCACTGGGAATACCCACGTGTATCTTGTGGAGTCATCCCCAGGTTTTCGTGCACACTCGATGAGAGATAGAGGAAGAAGGCTACAGCCTGAGGAAAGGCTTCTATTTCTGTCGTATGAATTCAGCTCTGGAACACCAAGTTTATCTTTGTGCACCAACCCAGCCTCAGAATACACTTCCTTGTTCAATCCCAACTAAAGGCAAATCTCACAGAGCTGGGTTGGTGTTTTGTGCTGTAGGGACAAGCATTAACGTTTTACACTGTGTTGGTCTTGAATATCCTGCAGAGGGAGAATGGTCATATTGGCCTTGAGCATCACTTTAAGAACGATGAACTGGCAAGTGTGTAATAGCAGGAGGCAGACGCTGACCAAATGTAGTGAGGGGTGATGTGTTGACATCACCAATATCACTACCACCAACACCCCCATTATCCCATGAGAAGAGGATTTGGGGCACAAAGTGGGCAGATTTTTTGGAGCTGTTCATTTCAAATAAAAGGCCTAACACACCCAAGGGGCTGGTGATTGTGGTTAAATTTCTAGACAAGGTTGGAGATGGAGATATAGCTTGGCAGATCATCAAGTATATTGATCAGAAAGTATGTTCCAAGACACCAAAAATCAAAAGCCAAGTAGTTGATTCCCTCAAGTATATGATTAAGTAACAATGTGCACTTTGCTTAACCTCTTTCAGCCTTGTTCATCACCTTATCCACCTCCAGGGGTGATTTGGGAAATAAACGCGGAAATAAACCTGTAAAGCGTGTGACACTGCCCCGTGTACTCGCTGGCATTTTTCGCCATGACCTGCTGGACCAGCCAGGACTAAAGCTCCTTTCTTCTTTCTTCCTTCCCTCTAGATTCTTGATTGTCCTGGGATGCTTGATTCTGGCCGTGCTCACCACCTTCAAGGAGTACGAGACTGTGTCTGGAGACTGGCTTTTGCTGCTGGTAAAATGCAATGCTGGGCCATTGGCATTGTCCTTGGGGATGGAAGCTATAAGTCACTTTCAGCTATAGGGAATCAACCTCTAGAAACTAGTATCCTATTATCTCTAGCCAAGTTCAGGTCCAAGAAAAAGCAATGGTTCCCTTGCCTGGCCAAGTGTAAATGAGGCGTAGCCTTCCTCATGATGATTCACCATTCTTGACAGAGACAAGGGGCAGACATACAAGTCCAAGCCAAAACCATCATGTATCAAATGATAAGATATAGCTTTATGGCCCTCCAAAAGTTTGCCTAAAGCCATACTCCATCCTAAACCCTGAACCCCCTTTCATTTCTCAAAAACGTAAACACTAAGGATAATACTAAGAAACTCTCGAGGTGATGACTGACCCCAAAGCTAAGGTGAGCAACATTGGCCGGCTGGTCATGCCAGTGTCTGAGCATCCTGGAGGAGATTGGCAGATTGTGTTTGACCTTACCCCTTCAGGATTTTTAATAAATTCAAGAGACTTTCAAAATAATTGGTTGGGATGGAATCTTCGGAAAAGAAACAGACATGGGTTAGCTCGGCATGGATAGTTAACATGCCGAGAAGAAGACTGGATGAAGGTGGCCCACCTGTCCTTCTCCCTTCTCTGGCCCCAACACATTCACCACCAGAGCAGCATCAGCATCAGCAGAAACCCAGGTCCTCTGATCCCAGAAGTCCTGACCCTGGGTACTGGGTAACCCCACTCCATATGCTCTTTCGTGCAGGAAACATTTGCTATTTTCATCTTTGGAGCCGAGTTTGCTTTGAGGATCTGGGCTGCCGGATGTTGCTGTCGATACAAAGGCTGGCGTGGACGGCTGAAGTTTGCCAGGAAGCCCCTGTGCATGTTGGGTAAGCCTTGGCAATGGAGTCTGGTGGTGGCCTCAGTTCTTTCCTGCACTGTTTCTATAAGGAAGTTGTATGAATGCAGATAGTGTTGGAACTCCATCTCCTGGGACTGTTCCTTGGGATGTAATAAGGGTAGTGAATCTCAGTGGTTGGGGACTGCGGTTACTAGCTTTGGGTTGTAAGGAAGCCACAGAGCACCATGTAGTTTGTGTTCCCAGTACGTAGACTAGTAGCACACTCAGTCACTCTCTATAGCTGTAATCACCAGTGTCTTCCAGGCCATCAGGGATAGGAAGTACCACAGCATTGATAATTGAGAGTGTCCTTCTCTCCAAACACATTTTACCTGTGTTATAGAGATAGACACCAAAGTTCACAAAACTGAGTCCTTCCAGTCTCATAATTGGTGAGCCGCAGATTCCACCAGTCTTAGTTGCCATTCTATCGCTGTGATGAAACACTATGACCAGGGCGACTTGCTAAAGAAAGCATTTAGCTAGGGCTGGCTTATTGTTTCCGAAGGTTAGTCCATAACCACTGTGGTCTGGAGCACTGTGATGTGCGTGGTGCTAGAGCAGTAGCTAAGAGCTTACATCCTGATATGTAGGCAGCTGTCAGAGAGAGAGAGAGCGCAATTGGGCCTTGTGTGGGCTTTGGAAACCTCAAAGCCCCCTTCCCCCAGTGGCACACCCCCTCCAACAAGGCCACAGCTTCTCTGACCACACATCCTAACCCTTCCCAAACAGTTCCTCTAACTGGGGCCAAGCAATCAAATATATGAGCACGTGAGGGTCCATTCTCTTTCAAACCACCATACCACCCCAATATAACAGTTCTGGAAGAATCCGGTTCCCCTTCCCTAATCACTCAATAAATAACAGCCAAGTTCCCATCTCATGTCCTGTTTACTCAGAAAAAAAAAAAAAAAAACACCTGAAAACAGTCTCTAAAAATCTGGCTTTTCTTCTTTATCCCAAGCAACCCCCAATTCCCTCTCCTCCACAACTCATCTGATGTCAAGTGCCAGGTGCCACACAAGGGACTTTGAGAAACTGTACCTCTGAGTCTAGAACCAGAGCTGAAGTCTAATGGGGATCTTTGCTTAACTCCTGGGATGTCATTTGTGCTCGGAGTTTCTGTTTCTCATCGCTCACAGCAGAATCCATTACTGGTGATTGGTGTCAAATTCAACACAATCACTTCGGTCAGTCCCTGCTTGACACGTGTTCATCCGCCCCTGCACAGCGAGTGCTTGGGATGGTGTCTTTTCTCCTCGTGGCCTCCTCCCTGTTTTCTAACCACGGTCTGTCCTCTTTCCCAGACATCTTCGTGCTGATTGCCTCTGTGCCAGTGGTTGCCGTGGGAAACCAGGGCAATGTCCTGGCCACCTCCCTGCGAAGCCTGCGCTTCCTGCAGATCCTGCGCATGCTGCGGATGGACAGGAGGGGCGGCACCTGGAAGCTCCTAGGCTCAGCTATCTGTGCCCACAGCAAAGTAAGTGTGCCGGAGAAGCTACGATGCGACGCAGGCTTCTCTCCTACCTGTACTTTTCTATGTCACCTCTTCCTTTAGTGACCCTGAGGGTAGTCATGCTTCCAACACTGACCATAGTAATGATAACAACAAGGACAAATAGGAGGAAGTGGGAGGAGAAGTTTATGTAAGTGTGGTCCAGGGAAGATGTGAACCACAGGCAGACCTGGGCTTAGGTCTCAACTCCACAATATGCAAATAACTGGCGAAATCACTCACTCACCTTCCGTTTCCTAGTTTCTGAAGCGGGCATGACCACTGAGGATTCAACAGCTCTGTGGTTTCAAGGGTAGAGAGCTCACACAAGGTAACATGGACAGCAGGGGAAGGTTTGGGAGTTGCACAGACTAATTTTGATCTGAACTCCGTGTCACTTTGGGGTCTTTTAAAATTCGTTCTTTGCACCCTGGGCCAAGTTCTGTGCTTGACTCCTCTGACACTCAGAAATATAGAGATGGAAGCCTGTGTGGCTAGGGTGATGCTTTTCAAGTTGATCCTATAGTTAGGACAGGCTAAACGATACTTCCAGGACACATATGCCGCAGGGTCTCTACCAACCCTAATGCATAATGCTGGTTCCTGCTTCTAGCATCAGGTATGCTAACTAGGTCTCACGTGTCAGGAAACTGAGCCCTGAGTCACCAAGCCAGGAAAGGAAGGCCTCACAGATCCTACAGAGAGCATTTTTAAAAACGAGAAAGGATTTGCTCCCTTGCTTCCCAACACTGACTGGACACGGGTCTCTTGATCCCAAGGCTACGTGCTAAGATCCTTGGCATGTGGGGGAACAGGCTCTGCCACAGAGCTGCAGGCAAAAATTAGATAAAGTCAGGGTTCCCTTGAAGAGCCCACTTTAACTGCCAGTGTCAACCAGTACACCGTGTCTTAACCCAGCACAGCTGATGGATCTGCATACTGCACGGGATCAAGCAGCTGTTTCTAAAGAATCTACCAATGAGTCTTCCAGCTTGCAGGAAGGCAAAGGTTCCTTGCTGTAGCCTGCAAAGCAAGAGGCAGGTGTTTAGCCAGCCCCTGGGGAAGGAACACGCAACTCTCTTTCCGCTCTCCTATCTGCTTCGGGGCAGACACTCAGAGGCGAACCTCCTGCGTTGCGTGTGTGAACTTACACGAGGGCAGTGTGCACAGGATGCTGTGGGGAAGCCAAGGCTGTGAGCCGAGAAACCTAACAGCGTTAGCAAAGCAGATGGATTGAAAACCACTGAAGCTATGAGGGGCACCACTGAACTCTCCCTGTTACCCTGACACTGATGTTACTCAACTCCTGAGAGAAAAAGAGAGGAAGGAAAGATGCATTTTGATGGACCCTGTCAGAGTTTCAGTACACCATTGTGAAGAAGGTTTGGCAGAGCCCCTGAGGCTGTGGCAGCAGGGCTGTGTGATGAAGGCTACTCACATCACAGCAGGAAGTGGAGGTTAAGACCCCAGAATCTGGAACCAAGGAAGACTTTCAAAGTCCCACCCTTAGCGACCTATTTCAATCAGCTAAGTCCCGCCTCCTAAAGTTTCCCTAGCTTCCCAAATTAGCACCTCCAGCCAGGAGGGAGGTGTCCCAGACCTGAACCTATGGAGGGTAGTTCCCATTCAGATCACAGCACTCTCTCTAATGCAGTAAAATTGTCCTGGAAAATACCATTATGTAGGTTACAGGTAAATGTAGCTGAGTAGGAGCTCTTCATTGGGCCCTTGGGACAAGGGTAGTATGGTCAGCAGGGACTATGTGAGCCGAGGTGATAAGAGAGGCAACCCTGTCAGTGAGACTCTATGACCTAAGGCAGCAGGCTGGCCGTGGACCACCATGGGAAGGACAGCTCTGCCAACAACAGCTCTCTGAGATGCTTCAGGAGGAACACAAACTGCTCACCTACAGATGTTACTTCTCCTCACCCACTCTACCATGCTAGCCTTGATGGGAGAGCATCAGAGCACTTAAAGCATCAAAGACCCCCAGGAATCATTTCCATCCATCCAGGGCTTTGGAAACTCCAGTGGTTGGCTTGTCTTTGCCCTCTCTGTTCTCCTTGCATTAGTGTTTCCTTTTAATCACTTGTCTTGTTTACAGCTTACTGTGTAACAGCGCCCATGAAATCACAGATCTCATATGTCTCTTATGTGTTACTTTTCATATATTCTAATATGTAAGATCACTCAAAATATAAGTGGTTTTTTTTTTCTTCTGAATTCCACCATTGGTATCCAGGATAACTCCAGGCCCCTTTGGTCTAGTTTTTTTTTTTTAATTTTGAAAATTAGGATATTATACATAGAAAATAGAGTGTAGTTCTCCCTTGGATCATACAGTGAAACCTTGGCAGGAATATGTCCCTGTCTGTGGCTTTGTCGCTGTCCTTGGCTGCTAATTTATACATGGAGGTGAGCTTTTGCCCTGCTCATTGCAATTCTGTAACACATAAAGACTGCCGAACAACTCTGAGCTTGTCTATGGCAATAACCAGTTTTTCCTGGTTACTTACCTTGCCATGAAGCCTTCTGAGTTGTGACATCAGGTCACCTACCATGGAGTCTTCCTCTTCTCCCAGGGCCTGCAACAGTCTAGTCGCTGATGGAAATGTTTGTAATCTTGGTCCTGTTTTCCACTTCTGAGAGTTGAGACTCAGAAAGGAACGCTGGTAAACACGCAGTCCTGTTCCAGACTGCCTAGCTCAGGCTACCCCCTGAGGGCTTCCTACTGATTCCCTCTGCTGCTCACTGTTCCAGGAACTCATCACTGCCTGGTACATCGGCTTCCTGACACTCATCCTTTCTTCATTTCTTGTCTACCTGGTGGAGAAGGATGTGCCAGAGGTGGACGCACAAGGAGAGGAAATGAAAGAGGAGTTTGAGACCTATGCAGATGCCCTGTGGTGGGGCCTGGTGAGTCACTTTCATTGAAAGGCAGCCCCGGTGAGGTTACTTGGAAACTTGACTGCTAGATGCATGACGAGGTGAAAGGCAGAGCAGGGGCAAACTCAGTCAGCTTCCTTTGGCATCTGAAGGTGGACCGCTTTCACTTCCAAATCTACAGAGAGGAGACAGGAAACTCCTACTGATGATGAAGGTACCTAGAGCAGTTTTCTGTAGAGCTCGAAGAAACTAGAGCTCAGAAGAGTTTATTTGCATGGTTTCCTGGGACCTGGCCTCGTTAGTCATGGGCAGTCATCAGCCAAGCCATGGGACACAAACAGGTACAGTATTAGGTACATGCATTACATAGAGACCTGAAGACACATAGAGAAGAGAACTGGGTCTTGATACAAACATAATCACACACTGAAATCTACTACTCAGGACAGACACATGGACAGAGAGCCATGTACACATGATGACATACACTCACAAACACAACTCATAACATGGCCGTGCTTAAATCCATACATTCACAAATACAGGCATTCCTCGGTGTAACAGGAAATTGATTTCAATTTCTTCCACTTCTCTGAGAATGTCAAAATATATAGATGCTCGTCCCTTCCAGAAAACATTGTTAACATTTCCATACCAACCACACACATCCTCCTATGTGTTTAAATCATCTGTAAATTAACTTTAGGGCCTAATGACATGTAAATACTGTGTAAATGGTTGATGGGCTGTAGTTCTTATTTGCATTATTTTTATTATGCTATCATTTGTTTTTTTATGCAGATATTTTGAAGCATAGTTGGTTAAATCAAAAGATATAAAACCCAAGGTGATAGAGAAGCAACTGTATACACACAGACACACACAAACACACACACACACACACACACACAAGATAGAGACAGGGAGAAGAGATAGAGCACAGAGGTTGATGCAGAGTTCTATGCACTGTCACTGATGTCCCCAACCTGGGATTTGAACTCTTCTCCTTTTCAGATCACACTGGCCACCATCGGCTACGGAGACAAGACACCTAAAACCTGGGAAGGACGTCTGATTGCTGCCACCTTTTCCTTAATCGGCGTCTCCTTTTTTGCCCTTCCAGCAGTAAGTTCTCTTAGTGTGCGACAGGAAGTTCCCCTTACTGCCTCGACCCAGCTCAAATCCCTGGGCCTCAGATTTCACCCTTTTGTATCCTTGGCTCCACGTCCTATCATTTCATCAGCTGTTACCTCAGGCATGGCTTGTCTCACCCCTCCCCCATGGTGGCTTGTGTTGCTGCCTTACAACTGGAGTGGTGCCTTCAAATGCCCCCCTTGTTTTCTAAGGTCAGGAACCAGTAGTGCTATTTCTAGTCTGAGTCAGTATCCCTGCTAGTCTGACTCCATGTGCGTTTGCAGATTTACATCTCTGTGTGTTCTCAAAGACTGATATCTTTGGGACCAAGGGTTCTGTCTTTGTCTGTTTACAGCCAAAACCTTACACAAAGCACATCTGAATATACTTTCTTTGGCCTGACACTTGCTGCCTTAAATTTTTGAATATTTTCATTTCTCTCAAGAGAGTAGTTCTTGACTTTTGAGAGATGCCCCTGAAATGGTGTAATGAGGGTGAAAATAGAAGGCTCTCATTGGAATCAGCGTGTGCCCAAATATTGCCAAATGTTTCCTGGGCATCATCTTGTTTAGTCTTCATTCCAATAGTATGAGTTAAAAACTGAGGCTCAATGAAAGGTTAGTAGACATTCCTGGGGAGCTGGAGAGATGGCTCAGGGGCTAAGAGCACTGCCTGCTCTTCCAAAGATCCTGAGTTCAATTCCCAGCAACCATATGGTGGCTCCCAGCCATCCGTAATAAGATCTGGTGCCCTCTTGAGGAAGAGACCTGCTCTTTATCAACTTAGACCATGAAATCCAATATGAACAAATTCAACAGAACCGCCATATACGGGCTGCCCATGCATGCCTCAGCATTTCCAGGGCATAAATTTCATTTCAAACTTCAAACGTTCCTGGGATGGGGAGTCAGAAACCCAGTCCAGGCCAGTTCTAAAGCCTGCCTAGTTGTTATGCAGCTTGAAGACAGCATTCTCAAACCACAACCCCTCTGCTGCTTCTCCACCCCCACTCCTTTCCTGAAGAATTTCTTTCTCCTATATTAGCCAACTTACACGTGTTTTCCTCTGCTAGTCATCTTTTTCTATGATCTTCTTGAACTTGTTTTCTCATCTCTGAAACTGTCCCAGGATGGGCTGGGTACTGTGTCATCGCTATTTCTCTTTCATATTAAATGCATGTGTCTATCTACTTAGTCCACATGGGTATCTGACCTAGAAATCAAAACAGATACAATTCTTGGAAACTCTGCCTATAGTACATGCCCCCCAGGGACAATTCAAACAGCTAAAATATTTTAAAATTCAATTATCATATCATATTCTGTGTCGCATCCCTTCCTGGAGCAATTCCTATTTATCATCTAGGTATTTCCTGAGATAATTGTGACGTATGTACTCTTAACCAAAGGGCCTATGAAAGACAGAGAACAGATGAACCCAGGCTCACAGTTGGACTCTGTCTATCAGATTGGAAGCCAGGCATTTTTGGCTTTAGGCTGGTTTCACTTAACCAGACTCCCTACTCCAGGAAAAGAAAAGAGGCTTTCTCCCTTTACTCCTCCATCTAGTATTGCACTAAATGGAGATGCAAAACCCCTTGTGTTGTTACGAAATCCCTGATGAAAAGCAATGTAAGGGAAGTTGTTTTGGGTCTTTTGTTTGTTTGTTTTGCTTACAGTTTCAGGGGATACAGTTTAGTGTGGCAAGGAAGATGTGGTGGCAGGAAAGGGAAGGAACTTGTCACATCACATGAGCAGTTAGAAAGCAGACTGAACAAGCCATATGGCCAGGCTACAAAACACCTGGACCCCACGTCTATTGACTTAATTCCTCCAGTAAGGCTCTTCTAGGTTCCACAACCTTCCTAAAGGGTCACCAGCTAAGGACCAAGTTTACAAATACATGAGTTTGTGGGTGAACATTTTAGTTCAAATGACAGCACAGGCTTCAGAGTGTCATTGAACCCTACATTCTCTGCACCCCCAGAAATGAGGCTGGGATACTGAACCTGGTGCAGCTGACACTGGTTTGATGTCTCCTTGCAGGGCATCCTTGGCTCAGGGCTGGCACTCAAGGTACAGGAGCAGCACCGTCAGAAGCACTTTGAGAAGAGAAGGAAGCCAGCTGCCGAACTCATCCAGGTCTGTGTGCCTGGTAGTGAACTAAGATGGTTCCAGGGATGTGAGTGTGTGTATGTGAGAGGGGGCAGGGGAGAGACAGAGACAGAGAGACAGAGAGCAAGACAGAGACAGAGAAAGAAAAAGAAATTCCAAAAGCATATACCTAGATAGGAAAGAACCAATTTGCATTTGCTCCTTTGTGATTGGCTACAGTCATCATCACTACACAGTCTTTGCGTGTTGGCAGTGAAAGCCTTACCATTTCCACCCAAATTCTAGGACACTCAAGTACTCTAAGCACTCAAGGGTGAAACCACTTAGTTTTTTTTCCCCCCGATAATCTTGGAGTGAAGAATTTGGCTTAGACCTGTGACTTTCCTTAGCCTTCTTCTTCCCATCCTAGAATTGATCCAGTGACCCACAGAAAATAGATAGCTAACAATCCAGTACTCCGTGAGCTACAAGGAGTACTGTGATTCATTCCTGTCTGTCAGAGCCAATGAGGTCATGGGGGGGGGGGGGACCAAAAGCATATAGGCTATTGAATATGTCACAGGTTGTCCCAACCCCTCAACAATCATTGTACAGGAGATGTTGGATACTTGGTTCCATCCACCACCATTACTCCTTCAACCATAGATTGGAGGAAGAATAATAGAGGAATAAAACAGGAATAATTACTCCCTATTAGACATCAAGGGAAGTCTGTATCTTGATTGCATGGGCTGTTTGAAGTAGGGGACCTAGTAAATAGGAAATTAGTGTAACCCCCATGCCTTCCTGAGTGCTGAGAGCATTGCCATTCACCCAGAGCTTGTATCCATTGCATTAGGTACTTCTGTGGGTCTATGGAACTGACGCAGCAGGTAGCATTCAGCATAGTCTGCTCTCTAAGCCAATCTCAGGATTCAAAGTCTGCTTATTCCTTTATGCCCTTAAACCCCACGCTATCAGGGCATCCAGGAGGTTAGTCTATGAGAGCCACCTCCCAAGCTCTCTGAAACTCAGAAATAGTACAAAGACTTTATTTTCTTATATAATTGACTGATCAGTCTCAAGGAGCTCTCTGGGAAGAATAGTCAGCATTCCTTTCAGGGATTTTTTTCTACCCTCTTCTCTCTATCCCAATTCGTCTCTCCGTGTCCCAGCTCACCACAGCACCAACTGTAGTTCTAAGATGGTCAAGTTTTTGTTTTTACAAAGAAACTATCAGAACCTCTGCTTCTCTGAATCCTTACTAGATGGACATTCAAACTCTTAGGAGTCAAGAGGTTAAAAGTTGTTTAGATGACATAGGTTATTGTGTGAATGTTTCGTGTGGTACCCATGTCATTCTGTTTCCTTTTCTCTCCTCCTCAGGCTGCCTGGAGATATTATGCTACCAACCCCAATAGGATTGATCTAGTGGCAACCTGGAGATTTTATGAATCAGTTGTCTCTTTCCCATTTTTCAGGCAAGTAGTCATTTGTCTGAGTACTCAGAGTATGTCTGACCTCCTCTACCACAGTCTGTTCTTGGTGTCATGGTCTCATGGTTTGCTAGAGAGTATCTTCCAAGGCAATGCAGAATGGTCCCTAATATGAACCACATATTAATATCATTGGAAATCTTGAAACAAACAAACAAACAAAAACAACAAAACCTTGATATTCAGACATGCTTGACCTAATTAAGTCTGAATCCTCAGAAGTAAAGGCAGACATCTCTAGTTTTCAAAACCTTCTAGATGCCCCAGTGAACAGCTGGAGGTAAACAGCATGGCACTAGGAAATAGCTGTATGAACAGAGTCAGGGGACAGAAGAAATTGAAGCCAGCACAATCAGCTATCCAACGGTGTGATGATTCCTTCACTGGCCATAGCATACACTCACAGACCACTTCCCCAGAGGGAATAAGGGCAAAGGTGACCTAAGATCCTTTGGAAACCTATTAATGGCATTTCATGGTCTCACAGTTAGAAAACTGAACTAAAGGCCCATGGAGGTGAATAGCCTCTTCCCACAGCTAGCGTAAGGAGAAGAGGAAGGAGCTTAACATGCAGTGACATCCACTGCATTCCAAATATCCAAGTCTGTGTCTCATTTCATCCTATCAGGTCCTCTGAGATGAGTCAGTGTTCACAAATGTAGGGATGCATTAGAGTTGGAGGCATTGTTTTGAACACAGAGAGCCAACATACACCTTCAGCAATGATAAAAAAATTGTGGCAAACCCATCTTGACCAGGAACCGTGGTTTCATTCTATCATAAGGGTTCATTGTGAACAGAGTAGCAGGATGAATGGTGGATGGTATCAGGTTCTACTTACCAGTCAGTGACCTAGGACTCGGAGTTAGTGGACATTTTGATAGTCTTTCCTGTTGCCTGGATTCTAAAGCAGGCTCTTCCTTTTCAGTGTTTTGATGTCATGGACTGAATCTAGAGTTCTGGATATAGACAGATGCTAGACTTTTAGAACCCCTGACTTAGGAGAGAAGGTAGAGGCACAGTTAGCTTATCCGTGGATAGGGTCCACTCTGAGATATGCTTACTGAAGGATGCTTCATAACCAAGTACCTGCCATTTCAGTGAACAGCCCAACAGTAGGTAAGTGCCTCTCCCAACATCTATGTAACTCTTCTCACACACTCAGTATAAGATCTATGACTGGTTTATGAATACATGGCCTCTACTGATCCATTCACTCTCACCACCATATTGTACTAAGGATTTAAGAAAGTTTAGCCAACAAGATGGCTCAGTGACTAAAGGCTTTTATTACTAAGCCTGATGACCTGAGTGTAATACCCAGGTAGAAGGAAAGAACTGACTTCCACATACATGTGCATGTTTACACACACATACACACACACACACACACACACACACACACACACTAATTTATCAATCTATTTTAAAAGATTTAAGGGAATAGAAAGGATCTGGATTTATGTGCTCCATTGCTTTATTTAAAACCTTTATAATCAGTAAATATTAATAGCATAAAAATGTGAAACCTGACCATGACCTTCGAGAACTCCAAGTCCAGCCCCACAAACCCTTTCCTTCCTCACATTCATTGGGTGTTCACTTCTCAGGAAGGTCTGATGGCATGAGCCAAGGCAAAAGGCGCTAAGAAGGGAGGAGAAAGAGAGGGTATAAAAAAGATAAAGGGGACCGATGACTTGTGGGAGAGGTAAGAGGCAATAGATGAATAATTAAAGGATAAGTTTGAGTTACTCACTGTATCTTCTAACTTAATTAAACTTACTCGGATGTTGCTAATTGTGTTTCTAAAACTCTACTGCTGCTATTATTGATTAGGAGCAGGGACATCATAAATCAGAGCCTTCCTAAAATGGGCCAGTATCCCCCTTTAAAATAACAGAATGACCTTGGACTCAAATCCAAGAACATGTGTACCCAGACCAAATGTAGAGCCACGATGAATTTCATTAGCTGTGCATCCCAAGGCCTTGGCAATGGGCCTATTCTTTTTGGTTGATTTATTATAAATACAACATTGTCCTGGCTGTCAGACACTTGAAGGCTACATTGTGCTGCAGACAGCTGCTGTGATATGGGAATGGCTTTTAAACTAAGAGGGAACATTTCTTTCTCGTTTTGTTTTTCAAGGACAAAGTACAAAGTCACTAGAGAAACTCACTTAGCAACCACTCTGAAATGAGGCAGTCCTTGGGAAAAGAATGTCCCTGAATACCAACCCACACCATATGCTAATGACAGAGAAAAAAGCAGGTACACTAATGTGTCCTCACCTACTTCCCAAAAGATTTTTCCCTTTCATTTACTCCTTCTTTAATAATAATTTCATTGAGATATATTTCACTACCTAAAAGAGGATAGGACAGTATAATTATTCTGACTATATTCTCAAAGTCGGGCATCATTCAACACACTAACTCCGGAGCAATTTTGTTATGTCAGAAAGAAATCATGTCTTTGTTTGTGGTTTCTCATGGTCCTCTCTTTCTCCATCCCTGTGGCCATTTTTGTAAGTGAAGAGACAAAACACCCTGCTAATTCTTAATATGATTCAGCAAGTACATGCTGGAAGAAAGATTGGAGTCAAGTTCTTCCACCCAAAGCTCTTACTCTTCCATAGTGTGTCTGGGAAGAAATGGCTATTTTAGGGAGAAGTACGTGATGCTCTGATACATCCTCACCTGCATCCCACAGGTTGGGTCAAGGCTTATTTGTCTAAACAATGCCTGTTTCTGAAGGGGTTGGTTCTGAAACTAAGTAAGGTGCATGACAGTATCTGTCTTGATATCTGATTCATGGCAGGTTATGATTCAGTCAATGGTGATTAAGTCTGTCCTGGTGATGTCTATGAATCCAAGTCGAGCAAAAGGGAAAGAAAGACACTGATCTCTGAAATTATAGTCTTAGGAAACCACTCACTGTGAGTAACACCATAGTGAGAACACCCTGTCTGAATTGAGGCCCAACCCAGTGGACTTGTTAGATGAGCAAGACTGCTCCAAGTAGAGAAAATGGGTAGGGGATTCTAGGCAAAACTGAGCAAAGACTCAGAGTGGGGAATATGTCACCAGCATGCTCACTGGCCCTGTCACTATAGGACTTTCTCTGGAGATGCTCTGCCTGGGTTGGGATTCGAACTCTACTGCTTCATGTCTGAGAACACAGGCAATTTATTAAACTTCTTTGTCCCTCAACCTTCTAAACAGAAAAATGATATAATGGTATTTACCTCTTAGAGTTATTATAAGGATTAATTGACAGATCCATAAATAACACTTAAAATAGTATCTGGTAAGAGAAGAGTCATGAAACCATTTTCTGTCCAGTCACCACGCACAGTGGTAATGCTATTGACCACGATGGCAGCGAGGGGTGGGAGAGCAGCAACTACTTTTGGCAGTCTTGATTTCCTGATCTGTCTCTACCACAAAAGAAGTCTTATGAGCCAAGCAATGAATCCTGGGGTTGAGTAGGCACTCACCTGTTTTCTCAATGAATTAGCAACAGGACCAAATGGTGGTGACAGGAGCATGGGGCACATGGCAAAACCCGCCTCATACTTTGGTTCCCTTCCACACCCACCATCTTGTTCCAGAATATTTCTTGATTCCATTTGTCCTGTTCTACCTTCGGAGTGATACTGAGGCAGACTGTGGGGGCAAGAGGCAACCATTTTATGTCATTTACATTTTTTTTCTTTTTCTCCCCCTTCCATAGGAAAGAACAGCTGGAAGCAGCAGCCAGGTACATTTCTGATTACGAAGCCCTTCCTTTCACCATTGTTTGGGGGAAAGGGTTCAGTTCCACATGGGGGAAAACTGCTAGATAACGATGTTGGTCATAGCTAGTGTTTGATGCTCACTCTGTTGCTGAACACAGATTCCTCCGCTGTTTTCATGTAATATTAAGTTAAGAACAACTTAATATGAATAATATCAACAGCTGCATAGTGAATGTCTGTCTCCTCGAGCTAGGCTCTGAGCAGGTTATCACACTTGATCTTTACAATTATCACGTGAGATAAGCCCTATTATTCTCCTTTGGAGATAAGTAGACTGGGACTCAGAAAGGTTCGCCTATCCCTTCAGATTCATACAAGTTGGCAGCAAAACCAAAATTTTAAGTCAGATCTAAATCTGAAAATCTTTGCCACTGGTGCTGGAGAGATGACTCAGTGGTCAAGCGTACTGATTACTCTTTCAAAGACCAGGATTCAGTTCCCAACACCCAAATGTCAGCTAGCAACTCTCTGTGACTCCAACATCTGACACCCTCCCATAGACATACATGAAGGCAAAACTTTCATGCACATATTCTTAAAAGTTTGCCATTGTACTTTTCTCCATTTGCTTCTTGGGCTCACATCACAGATGACACTTCAGAAAAAAAACACAGATTGGAATTCATGATCCCCGTAACCATGAGGGCTTCTAGTAAGTCATGTGCACTACAGTGGCCACAGAGGTAAGAAGAGGTTCAGGGTTATGTAGGACTACTTTCATCAACTTCTTACCCCTCTGTAGAAAATGCCCAACATCTGGACCTGTTCTAGGTTATAAAGCAAGGTGATTTACTTTGACAAAATAGTGTGAAATGTTAAGAGATGCCAACACACTACTCAGAGCAGTACTTGGTTTAAGGATATGGGGTGTTTTCCATAGCTTTCCACGTAGCATTTTTGAACTGCAGTTAACTGTAGGTGACTGGTTAGAAGTACTATACATTATTCCAAATATGCATTGGATTTTCTGGTTTCAATTTAATTGGGAACCAAATAGGTGCATGTGAGTCTTTAGGTTTGGACTTAGGTGTTTGATGGCTCATCCTCCTCAGAGAAGATTATAGTTGGTGATAGAAGCCTTTCAATCCTCTATATCCACTGTTTGAACAGTCTTCAGGTAGGGCTGGTAGACTGGTGAGGGAGATGAGGGGAGCAAGTATGAACACACAGCCTGGAGTAGTAGACAAGGATCTTGAGGAAGGGTGAATTCAGTTCCTTCATCCAAGAAGGAAGGGTACAAGGTGACAATGAAATGCTCAAACATAAGCCAATGCTTTAAATGAAAGTTTACTCCTGCTTACTGGTCAGCTTATCTACTGGCTTTCCTTCCATTCTTACTTTATGGTTACCTCCATATAGTCAGGGTGATATCTGAAGTTCATTCTATTGCCTCCTCCTCGAACCAACAGCCCACAGGTTGGTTTGACAACTTGAGGAAAACAGCTATGTTTCCTGTTTCTTTCCAGATCCAGATATAGTCTTGAGGGTAAGAAGGGGAATCATTTAGTCAGCTTATTGGTGAGGACTCACATTCTTGCCTGCTTACAAAATGATTATTTAGGGCTTTCTTGATTGTTTTGATTCACGTGGACTTGCATGTAGAACATAAGCCCAGCTGAGTTCATATAGTTGACTGAATGGTTGCCTCTGATAATATTATGCTTCTTTCTTGGTGTGTACAATTCTGTGATTAACCCAAATGTAAAGAGACAACTCACGTGATAGGCTCACAGATAGCTGAACACTTGGTATGCCATGCTGTACATTTCTTAAAAAATTGGAAGCAGTTGGCTCCTCCCATCTCTTCCCATCTGGTCTGAATACATCCATTGTGATGCCCTTGGTTGGGATTCAGAACTTTCATAATAAAGCATATAAGTATGCATATATAGATTATATTACACACACACACACACACACATCAGTATTGAAGCTAAATCTATGCCTGAAATATAAATGTACCCCATAAATATTTGATGAGTGGATAAATAGTAATCTATTTTATCTCCATGTCACTTTCAAGGAGTTGATCTGATGTGCTCACATATCTTGCAATGTCATCAACACAGAAATAGCCAGAGTAGGGCTTTCATCCTCCTTCCACCCTGTTAGGAAGGAGTCTCCCTAAAGCATAGGTCGTTAATGCCCTCCCTCGATGTTCATGGATACAAAGTGAGCTCAGTTAAGCCAGCAGACACATGATCTGGTATTAGAGATACTCCTCTCGTATGACATCATGCGACTCTCTTGTCAGTTTCTCTTGGGATTCTGCCTTATGTCCCTTGCCAAAAGTGACCTTCTTTGACTCTTGACTGTCACTCTGTCAGTGTCTTTCCCTTTGATTCTGTTTCAGTGTCCTTCACAGTACAGATGATTGCCAAATATGCTTGTTTCTTAACTACTTTTTCTCATAGACTGGATACTTCTGAGTCACCTAAACATAACCTGAAAATCTGGTTAACTTTATGTACACACACAGTAAAAGATAGAGTATTTCCCCCTCCCATTAAAGGTAAATGCATAGCAAGTAGAAAAAAAAAACAGTCATTCTCTATGATAGTCATAAAGTCCATCCATTAATTTCAAAGTCTTAGTAATAATATTGGACCAAGGAACATAAATATTAAGCCTTACTAAATGTAGATGAATAAGAGGGTAGATATAAGATGGATAAATTAATGAACCAATAGGTAAATCGAAAGATAGAGGTCAGTGAATGAAAGTATGGATAGTGGGTGAATGAATGAATGGACAAAGTCTATATTATACAAGTATCATAAAGTCAATTTACACTACTTTAACCTAGAAAAGAAATGCAATAGCTGACATATCCATTGAGGGAGGCTCAGAGGCCTCTGGGAACTAGGATAAGAACTGTCTGTATTTCTCTTTCATCTTTTATCTCTGATCATTCCAGGATGAGTTCACTCTCGTAGCTGACTTTCCATGTATTGATTAATCTGTATATGCTAGTAAACACAAAATAGGATATGTTTTCGTTTTTCCTCTTTAGACTTAATACTCATGAGCCATAAAAACACAGGGAACCCTACATATTGACCCAATTTGTCATATATTCATGCCTTGGACAATTTCTTTCCATAGAGAATAGAGACTACTGCTGGCCAATCCCTGTTGTATGTTTTTAAACGTTAGAGTGAAATAAACTACTACGGATCACAAACTCCTTTACATCCACTTGGGTGACGTGAGAGAAGAGAGAAAATAAATTCCTGGATGTAATAAGGTAGTTCTCCCTCCCATTAATGGTAGTCATAAAGTCCATCCATTAATTTCAAAGTCTTAGTAATAAAATTGCACCAAGGAACATCAATATTAAGCCTTACTAAACTTCATTTATTCTACAGTGTGTTGGGAGAGACTAGTATTTGATGTTCTGGCCACCACTTTAACCATCATTTGTAAAGTGTTCAGCATATAGGCATCAAGCATCCTGCTGTTAATTAGGGTGTCTTTGTGATAGAAACTAGGAGTTCTAAACGCTCAGAAAAGATAACTATGTTGACAACCGCTTGCTTGAACCCCATTGTTCAATTTGTATTTTCAAACAATTTACTCTGAATAACATCCTTCAGAATGTGTATTTGTCTTTGAAGAACAAAAACATCATCCAAGACACCTTCCTTTTCTCTTGCCTGGTGATTATGTCTTTCTCATTTAGCAGAAGATTATTCTTTGTATCAAGGATTTAAAGTAATGGCTGTAACTTTGAAAGAATGAATATTGTCTGCCAGGTAGGGTTCTGTGTACATCAAACCTCACAGCCACCCTATGATCTAAATAAAATACTGTTTTTAATCCTTATTTTATACATAATAACTGAGATTCAAAGAGATAAGAACTTTGTACAGTGTCTGTAAATAGACACAAAGAAGGGCTTGGACCCAGCTGGTTTACGTCCACAGGTCCTGGTCCCAAGCACAGTGCTAACTAATCCTTGCAGTTGCTTTCTTGGTCACTGCAGGTGTCCCTTTGCTTGTTTGTTTTCCTTTACCCTGTCTTGCTTGGCTCACAGAGCTGAAGCCCTTGCCAGAAGAGGAGGCTATAGAGGCCCGAAAAGGCACAGAGCCAGAACCCGCTGTGCAAAAGAAGAACATTCAGCCCGGTGCTGCCATTCTTTCTTTATGTCTCCCCCTGACATCACCACATGAAATTCAACTCACAGTTATAGATGCTGTTGGCAAGAAAGTCCATCCAGACCCTAGAATCAGTGATTGGGAAAGGGGAGTTGAATTTTGATAGCAGTTAACCAATCCCCTAATTTCGCTGATGAGAGAATTGGTACCCAGTGCAAAACAAGAGGTTAGAGTATGACCCCATACAATTAGTATTTTGTCCTGTTGTCCAGACCAACAACACTGTCTCAAGCAGCCCATTATTAGAGGTGCTGAAGTGAGATTTGGGCCAAAGTGGTGTATCCTGAGTGATCCCTGGCATGTTGTAAAGGCTCTGCCTCCATTTTCCCTGAGAAACAATTGGGGCACCATGGCTATTTATAACACACCTTTTACACTGGGTAATGATTAGGTTGGGACATAGATGTTGGAGAGGAATCAATAAATTGGTTTTATTGAAGTGCTGACTCTGGGCCTGACATTTCATAATACTCCCTACCTAGTCTGGCTTTGAGAGCAACAATGGGACAAAGTAGACACTGTCCCAGCCGTCACAGTAGGGATGTGGGTGTCATGGCCTTCTGACATCATGATTCAAGGAAAGCTGGAGGAAGATCACATAAGGACAGTGATCATCAAAATGTAAGCGACTCCATCAAACAATGCTGAACAGTATCCGTTCATACCAATGATCCTTCTCCAATGGGAGGAAACTAATTGAATTCTTCTGGGTTCTTCAAAGAGTATTGAAACCCCATTTTTATGTCTTTGAAAATGTGAAAAAGGAAGTTCCTCTCTATACATGCCTCTTGTATTGTCTCTCCCCATGATCTCGTCATTCCTTAAGACAGAAGAACTTGGCACAGCTCTCCTGGTTCCATAAGTCTGAAGGCTATACTTATTCAGCCATCCAGCTGTCACTGATAGATATATTAGTGTCGTCAGCAAGCCATAACAAATTACCATGAACTGGATGAGTGAATGATTTAAAGAACTGAAATTTACTGTAGTTCAAGAGGCTATAAGTCTGACCTCAAGATGTCACCCGGACCATGCTCCCTCCAGAGACTTTTGAGCATGGTTCTTCTCTTCCTAGTTTCTCGTGGTCACTGGCAATTCTTAGTTTTCCAGCATTCTAATCCATGCCTCTACCTTCTCACAGAATTATTTTCTGAGTATATCTGTGCCAAATCTTCATTTTATTTTTATTATAAAGATACTACTCACTGGAATAAGTATCTGCCCTATTCCAGAATAACTTAAACATGGTTACATCTGTAAAAATCACACTCCTAGGCATAGTTTAGGTCTTGGACTTATTTGGAGAGAGAGACAATTCAGACTTCTATTGTTGCAATCATATGGACAAAATTCTTTTCCTCTACTCAGATAGAAACTGGCCAGTGGTGGAGAAGCTCTATGTTAGTCTTTGATGTCTCTTGTTTCCCTGAGTATTTGGTGTGTGACATCAATGAGTGTTGAACAATAGGCAGATGAGAGTAGCAGTGTGTGGAACCCTCTGATACTGAAGATTCATGAGGCTTCTGGTATTGGGACCATTGGGTCCTACAAGTGTCACCACTCCTGTGTGATCCTATGAAGTCAGTATTCTCCATCCCTTTATTATAGTGGCTGTTGAAGCTTCCAGGAAGGGCTAGCTATGGGGATTCTTCCGGGTTGACAGCAACCAGTGTTACATATCTCTGCCCGAGAGGTGTCTGTTTGAAATCTTTGATCCTCACGATTCACCTGTTCTCTGGAACCCTGTAGGTGACCAGGACTGGCAGTTTTCCGTCTCTGCCTCCTCCCTGCTTTACTCTTCGTCAGTTCTCAGCTCTCTACTCTCTCTCACCATCCGCTACCCCAGCAGCTTTTCCTTCACACTGACGCTCTCAGACTCATCTGTGTCTTCTTCAGCTGGGAGAAGTCTCCTCCCTGTCTTGCTGCTTTCCTAGCCTGTGCTGCTCTGGCCGTGCTCTTCCTGCTGTCTGTGCCATCACTACCTCACTGCTATCTCTGCTGTGTTCTTTGTGTTACCAGCTCAGCCCACAGCGAGAAGCCCTTCCTTCATTGGACCAAATGTGACAACAACAGACGGGTCAGTCCTTAGAGACGTCCTCCTGGTGACTTGCTCAGGAAGCTGGAACAGCTGGCTTATATAGCCTGGAAGTCCATTCTTGGAATAGCCACAGTCAGTAGTATTAGCCCAATCACCGCCTTGCCTTGTCAGCACCTCTGTGAGGCATGGCCTATAATATAAACTAGTTTAAACAGCCCTGGATGACCCTGAGCGTTGTCATGTAGTTTTTAAGTTCATGGGCAGTAAAAGATGTATGGCCATGGTATGGGGGTGTTTGGGCTGGCTGCGTAACTGACAGTCTTTTTGCTCCAGACAGCTAAGGGAGCTAGAGATGATAGACTCACTGCTAATTAGAGAATTGGGTTGCCCCATCTCCCAAAGTCTGCTTTTATGAGGGAAAATGAGTATCAGAATGAGTGCTGATAATCAGAACTTATATAATTTACCATTAGCACTAAGAGTAATTTTAGCAGAACTGAATATGCTTTAATAGTATCCCACACTGACTTGGTGCCCTAGAGAGATGTGGGCCCATGTTTTCCATCTCACTACAGATAAGAGTAATGGTAATTTAGAAGTAAGAAGAGATGGAGGTTCTCCAGGTAGACATCAGAGCTCATCAAAGATCTGAATACCAGATAGTTGTGTGACACTGAGCATGACAAGAGTTCCCTGGATTTTACGATCAGATGTTGGAATCCAGGACTTGTATCTGCCAAGAGACAACTTTGATTTTACATTTCCATCCCCACTTGATCTGTTTCCAGTTTTTCAAATCCAGGCGTGGAGATTATTTGTCTGCACATATTCAGGGACTCTTGCTTTCCAAGGAAATGGCGGTCAGCAGTTTCTCCACTCTCCTCCAAGAACAGGGCTTGGATTATGTATGCACCGGGGGTCCATGTGCAGAAGGGCAGAGATGAGTGTTGAGTTTCAGTTACCAGCTTTGCTTTGCATTTCATTATCCTGTGGGGTCTTGGCTTTCAGGCAACCCAATTAAGAAGTAAGCTGAGCATCCTCTTTGCTGGAGGAAGAATTCTGTAAGCCTCTTAGGTGCGGGGGCTGAGACTTCTGTGCCAGTGTATCTGGATTCCTGAGACAGTCTAAAGTGTCATCCGTGACCAGTGGGCTGTTAAATGACTGTGGCCAAAGCAATTCAGACTCTCAGGAAAAGCAGTGAAGCATCTGGCTTCCAAGAAAATGAATCCTAAATCTCAGAACTGCTAGCGGAAAAGGATCTTCTTCTTATCCTTCTGGTGATCAGAGGTTGTGATGAAATTTCAGGTCAGGACAAAGTGGCTGTCATTAATTTTGTCCTCACTTAGTTGATATAAGTTTAAGATCTCCACATTTTAGATTTTACCAAGGCAGAGTGAGCTCGGAGACAAGCATTAAGTAAATACAAAATGCTATATAAATAAATCCCCTAAGCTCATCTCGCTTCATATATATTTTTACACTAAAACACAAAACCCTGCCTTTATGCCCCAGGGAATTACATTGATCTTTTCCACACATGTCATCAGCCTTCTAATGCATCTATGGGAAGAGGATTATTTTCCAATATAGCGATGACAGCCAGCGCTTAGTGGAGGCTTCCTGTATCATAGATGGGGATAAGTACTTTCCATGCATTATCACATTTAACATATAATAAGCCCTGTGAATGCAAATAGAAGGCCTTGCTCATAAGGAATCTGGCAACCAGAAAAAATGCAGTTATGTGTCCTAGGTCAGTCACATGGGTTATCAAGTTGTATCCACCCAGCCTCGTTTTTACCTGAAGTTCATGTCTGAGGTATGCTAGCTATCCAGAAGTGCCAAGTAGGCTGTTTCTACTTTATGACTTTGTAGAAAAAAACTGATATGGAAATGCACAGTCTTCATAAAATGTGTTAAACATCAGACAGAGGAAACCACATGTCTTTGGGGGATCAGAGCGCTGAATTTTCACCAAGGCATGTTTAGCTAGAGTTTAAACGGCATGTAATAATGAGGTTGACTGACCTGGCAAAAACGGGCACTGGCAAACAAGAAAAGCTTGTTGTGCATCCTGGGGAGTGGAATGCAGAGCAGAATACATAGGCTACAAATGGTCAGGTGGCTCAGAAGCCAAAGGCATGTGCCAACAAGCCTGGTGCCTTGCATTTGACCTCCAGGACCTACGCTGTAGAAGGAAAGAGCTAATGCCTTCAAATGGTCCTCTGACCTCTACATGTGCACAGTGACACACATGGTTGCATACACACAGCATAAATAAACCCAAAATGTTTAATGTAATGTATAGTTAGAGAAGAAACATTGTACTGAAACAGTAATTATGAAATCGAGTGTTAAAATGAAGTCAAGCAAGAGCTTCTCTTTAGTGAACCTTACGGTCTTCATACCTGGTTTCAGATTAAACGCGCTCACAGTATTGGATCAGGGATAAGTTTGTTACATTAATGATGGAAAGTGATGCTAAATTTTGATTGGAAGTTAGTGGTTTAAAAGTGTACTTTTCCCACCAAGGCTCATGAACCCCCTAGGTTCTATCAGAGGAATCTGCTTGTGGAATGCAGGTTAAGGGTCCCTGCTTTGTGTAATTTATGTCATTCATTTATGTTTGATTCATTTATGTGGGATGAGAATTTGCCTGTGCCCATCACTATAAAGAGAAAAGGGAAGTTATTAATATAGAGAAGAGCATGAAGAAAGAAGAAATTTTGTTGTATGTGACTATACATTATTACCTCAGTCTTGTCCATGGAAGGTCCATTCCAAGCAACTGCAGATAATATTGAATCCTATTGATGTTGTGTCTTTTTCTTATACATGCATACTAAGATGAGATTTAATCAATTAGGTATTGTAAAAACTAATAAAGATAACCAGTAAACAATTATGAAAACATGTGAGTGAGTGTGCCCCCTGCTCTCACTTTACACCCCCACCCAACTATAGTGTAATTTTGAGTGGTTGTCTGCAGGTCCTTGAAGTTGTTTTGGTAAAGGATACTACTATGTATCATGCCCTGGGTTTAGGTTCCAGATAAGCATAGATGGAAATCCGAGGACATTGGAAATGTTCTCACAATGTAATCAGCTGTAAAAACTCTGAGCTAAAATTAAGATTTGAGTCCCTGGCCCCATTAAATTACTATCTGCTGTATCCAGTTAGCTCCCTACATGCAAAGTTCCCAAGCACCTTCAGGTTGACTCCCTAGACTCACAATTCCCATGCACGCTCAGGTTGGCTCCCTAGGTGCACAGTTCCCATGCACCCTCAGATTGGCTCCCTAGGCGCACAGTTCCCATGCACCCTCAGGTTGGCTCCCTAGGTGCACAGAACCCTGCACCCTCAGGTTGGCTCCCTAGGCACACAGTTCCCCTGTATCCTCAGAAGGGAATGTGAGTCTTTGTGGAGGGGTGGGAAGTTACAAGAACCTGCACTGAAGGAGGAAAATTGTTCACTTTTGCTTATTTTGTAGCCAAAAGCTGGGTCTCTTGGATCGGGTTCGCCTTTCTAATCCTCGTGGTAGCAATACTAAAGGAAAGCTATTTACCCCTCTGAATGTAGATGCCATAGAAGAAAGCCCTTCTAAAGAACCAAAACCCGTGGGCTTAAACAATAAAGAGCGTTTCCGCACCGCCTTCCGCATGAAAGCCTACGCTTTCTGGCAGAGTTCTGAAGGTAACATCCTTCTCTCTCTCTCTCTCACCCCCTCTTCCGTCTCCTTCCTCACCTTCCCTCCATTGAAGATCTCCCGCAACCACAAAGCAATCTCTCCCATCCCACCCTCAACCAACTTCTTGTCTCACTTTGTGTGTGTCCCGTGGGCTGAACGCATCAGTGACATAGTACATGACTCCTAAGTGAGGAAGCTTTTCAGTGGGTTAGGCTATTGTCACCTCTGCGCTTCAGTGAAAACCTTTCCAAGGAGTCTTAGGATCCACACTTGAAAGGGAAACCATGATGAGGGCAACTGGAAAGATGCAGAGAAGCAGGTACAGCCATCTGGAAAGATGCACACCACCACCTCCAGGGATGGAGAAGAAAGTCAGAAGCAATGCTCTGTGTGTCAGGTACTATAGGAACGATGGCCTCAAGCACCTCTCTCACTTAGCAGAAGAGGAGACAAAGAGGAAAATATTCTTCTAGGTGTTTGAATCCACCAAGCCCTTGACACTCATCATATTGTTCCTGCCTCTCTGACACCTCCAAGTTTCAAAAAGGTGAGAAAGTGACCTTCCAAGGTCACAAGCAGTGTTACTGACAGGGCAAGAATTTTAACTCAGGTGTGTCTGAGTCTGAGGACCAGACCTGTGTTTTTGGCTGCTCATGTGCTCACCCACACCTGCAGAGCCCACCAGAATTGCTTTCTGGCCTTCTCCTCCAAGCTGGTTCTGACCTAGTCATAGCTCTGACTCAAACTTCTGTACCTCAAAGTGGGAATGCTAAGGAAGGATAAATGGGGTCACAGTTGGGGTCCACAATGTGGGGTGACTAATATACATACTGGAGATTCTGGTTCCATGGTTGTCTTTCATATTTTCTATTTATGACCGATGAAATTAACATCTATGTCTCCCTCACAGATGCTGGGACAGGCGATCCCATGGCAGAAGACAGGGGCTATGGGAATGACTTCCTTATTGAAGACATGATCCCCACCCTGAAGGCCGCCATCCGAGCTGTCAGGTAATGGCACCTCTCCCCAGCTACATACATTCTCAGGCACCGACTTCATGCCCATGGGACACAGTTGGTCAAGTGCCCTTGGGCCTTGAGAAGGAGACAGGGGCCTCTTCCTGGTCACCGTAAGCTGGGTCCCATGGCTACTTCATCCTCTGTGGAGAACACTACCTTGAATACAATGATTCTTCCTGAAACAGTTGACCACCTGACAACGCATCCATCCAGGACACATCTTTCTGGCTTTAACCAGCATTTACTATGAGGGGTGTCAGGATGGAAGATGTAAAGACATGGTGCTTTCCCTCAACATTCACCCAAGTCATTCAGTATAGTTCTTCTTCTGCCTGTACCTATCCATCTGTTCTTTTTAATCAACATTTTAATATGATAATAAACTATAGATATTTTGTATGATTATGCGACCATAATTTGCTCTAGTTTTTTTTTTTTCAAAATCCTTCAGGAAAGTCAAGAGAGTACATTGCTTCTTAAGGAAAATATAGCAAGATATATGTGTATTCTCACTTTAATGAGTGGTAGAAATGAGTTAGCATCTTTTCAGCAAGATCTTTCTATTCAATAGGCCAGGGAGCAGAATAGTTTTGTGGACTCCAACAAAGGCTTTGGTGTGGCTCCTCACATTTCCATATAAGACAGAAAGGCAGTTAGGTAGATGCATCTGTTACATTTGTTGCTGAGTGATCAATTCCACACTCCCCCCCCTCAAAAAAAGCCCAGTTGATCAAACCAATCCAGAGGGTGCTCTGCTGAGATACTATTGCTCCCATCTCTGCACAACCAAATTTATACCATCTTTCAGATGTCTTAATTCAAGAGATGGTAACTCTTTTTTAATATATAATGCCAGTATGATCGGTTTTGTGATCCTTTGTCCTTCATCTCAAGAATTCAGTGTTGCCATCTTAGCATATAAAACCACACATGTCTTAAGTGAGGGAGCATCAACTGGGTTCCATTAGAACATGCTGGTCAAGCACAGGCAATAGGCAGATCTGACCTCCGAGCCACCACCATTCGGTGGCTCTGCTTCAAGTGGAGCTAAGTAAAGGGCAAGTTTAAATTCTGTGTTGTGATGAGGAAACTAGTCTATATGCCCAATTTTTTAGAAGCTGTGGCTGTGGTTTAAAATAAAATGTACTTGAACTATGCCACTCAAGAGACATATGCCAATGGGGACTGGAAGAGCCTGGCATAGGCAGGACCTCCTGAAACTACTAGTGACTGTAAGCTTAGATTGGCACTATGCACAGAAGGCTGGAGTCCTCGGAGGACAGCAGCCTTTAAGAGTGTTATTCTTGACTTGCAGGGAGAAGTATATGAAGGAATCTCCATGTTATAATGAACTTGTACAGACTCACAGAACAGAACCTTTCTAAGGAGCCCAAAGCAAAAGAATTAGAAACCATTGTTCTGGTTTGACCTGGTTTGTTCATTGGTCTGTTTGGGGATTTGGAGACTGAGTTTCATGTAGTCCTGGCTAACCTCAAGTTTACTGTGTAGTCAAGGATGGTCTTGAAGTCCTGATCCTTCTGTCTCTAGCCTTAAGTGCTGGGATCACAGACATATAATGCAATGCCTAGCTACTATTATGACTTGTGAGTAGAATGTCCAGGCATTTTTAGACATGGTCCCCTGCAAGTGGTACAATTTTGGAAGATTGGCATCGGCTTAGCTAGGCAAAAGTTCCGACTATGGTTTAGGGGTGGCCCTTGAAGAAGTTATATCTCCATCCCTGCTCTGTCTTGAGCTCTCTGTTTTCTGATCTGTGATGTGACCCAGCCACCTTAGGCTCTGGATGGTACCAATTAGATCAGTTTTCTCCTCCACAACTTCCCCACCAAACATTCACAGAAAACTATGAGTGAAAACCAGTCCTTCCTAGGTTGTTTCTGCCACAGTGAAAGTGAGAAGTTTGACAAGCAGTTATTGAGGAGGACAAGCATTAGCCATCCTCAGTTAAAAAGCAGTGTGGCAGTGACAGCAACCAAGAGCCTTATTGACACAGAAGCCTGGCCCTGATCCAGGTCTGGCATCCTGACCTATGAGACATGGCGTTCTCAGAGCCATGGTTGCTCCTCTGCAGATTGATTAAAAGACTGATCATAAGGAGTGATACTTAGTATCTCTTATGCAATGAATGTTCAGCAACTGTTCAAAAGATGTTAGTACTTCCATTTTGTAATTGCTCAAATGATTGAAGAAGTGGCATTAGCCAGCCTAATTGACACAAAGGGACAGAACCAGAGCCGAAGGCCAGCACTCTGCCATGCAGCAGCGTTCCCTTCCTTCTTTTCTCCCACTGCCTCTGGTGGTTGCTAGATGTGTATTCTGGTTTCCCTCGCTGTCTTCCCGCTCTGAAAAAAAATGCCTCTCTTTTGCCTTACAGAATTCTCCAATTCCGCCTATATAAAAAAAAGTTCAAGGAGACTTTGAGGCCTTATGATGTAAAAGATGTGATTGAGCAGTATTCCGCAGGGCATCTTGACATGCTTTCCAGGATAAAGTACCTTCAGACGAGGTAACACATTCGAATGGAAGGGCCTGTGCTCACTCAGCTGCTCAGGAATCCATGTCAGATGACCGTAGAGTTTTAAGAGACAGGCATTCAGAAATAATCCAAAATACAGCAGAGAAACTTGAAGAATGGAAGTGCCCACTGAGCATTGTGGGTGTATGGGCCAATAAATTTTACTCTCAGACTAAGGCTTGGCAAGGTATAGAGAATAATGAGACCATGGTGACCAGGGGCTTCTGTCCCTTCCAAAGGAGATGATTGTTACTATGTTTTATTTAGTCCTGCTTTTCAAAGATGCAGAGAAGCCCTGAGGCATTGGCATGTCCAGTATCAACTCCCTGATGGGCTTCATGGAGAAAAGAAGATGTTCACCTGTCCAACTAGTTCCTGACTATGGTGCTTTGGATAACCATAAAACTCAGATCATCTAGACGGTTCAGCTAATTTATTCTAAGTATAAAGTTTCAACCACGTGTTAAAATTTTAAGTGTTATGCATAATAGTGAAAATACAGAAAAAATGGAACCATTTACAGAGACTTTTTAAAAATAATACCATACTTTTATTGAATTCCTAGGTACTTTACACATATATAAATATATAGGAGCCATTACGATCCTATAAGGTACTTATCACATAACAGGTGCCCTAATAATGATGGGGAAACCAAAGCTGGTAGGGCAGAAGACTAAGCCAAAACTGTCCATTCGAGAAATTGAAAGCACAGCATCAATATATGTATGTCAACGATGCATCATCACAAGACTGGACCCAGCAATCATATGAACCAATGTGCTGTGTCTGTATATATGTGGGGTTAACACAAAAGTGGACACATGTTAGCTCAGAAATACACATGGCATACATGATGTCATTCCATCATATGAGAGACCTGAAAAGAAACTGACACAATTCAAGGTGACTTGGGCTTCCTCTTCCTCATCCAATTAATGTCCCCTTATTAGAGTGTCCTCCTGACTTAGTTACAGCACTGTACCAATGAGGCTGTTACAGTATACATAGACTTGCACGTATGTTTATTCATGACTTTCTTTGCCTTTCACAGAGTAGTAGATACCAAATTGGGGTTCAATGCCTGCTTCAATACACCAAATGTATGATGTTTAAACAAGTTTTCATCCCCCCATGCTATCATGTATGGCTGTCTGAGAGACAGAGGAAGACAGTATGCTGCCAACAAAAGCCAAAACTCCAAAAATATCAGTCAGTTTTAGTGTTTACAGAATGTATAGCTGTAAACATGCACTGTCATGATTTTTGATAGTTATCAAAAAACGTGTTCATGGAGATTATGGTTAGAGGTTGTCTGCCAAGATAATGAATTACATAATCCCCACCATGTATATACTTCAGTAGGTCCAGCAGAAAGGAGGACTGACTTCATATGATGTGTCTGTATGTCTGTTGGAAATGCAGCTGAGTTACCAGAGGAAAATGTAGCCCAAGACTATTCCTGAATGTATCTTAGTGGTCATCCTGATAATCTCACCTCTGTCCCTGCCCCCCATCACGATGAACAACATCTTTCTGTTGAACTGAGTGTTGAACAGAAATGGTAGCAGGGTGCTGGAGCTAGGGATAAACCATCCTTCCTTGCATAGCATCAGAAGTCTGTGCGGCTGAAAATGGAGCCTGGAGTCTGACAGTTAAACCTCTCTAATTAGGTAGTTTGGGGATGAATATAAGAACTGGAAGATTAGATAGGCTTACAGGATATGTGTGGCATTTGCTGTGAGAAATAAGACAGAGCCCTTATCCCAACTCTGTAGATGGTCTCCCTCTTCTCTCCCAGGGATGAAAAAATGCTCTTGCACCCCAGAGGGAAGAAAACATTGCACCCCAGACTTCTGGCAATTTCTCTCCTTCTGTTCTCACTCTGTCTCATCCTCTAGTGTTCCTCCCTTTCTTACACATTCCAAACCCACATTTGAATTAAGAAATGTAAGAATTTATGTTCTCACAACAACAAAGCTTTGTGTCATCTAATCCCTCCTTGTTTTGTTTCTTTTCTTCTTCTTCTTCTTCTTTCAGAATAGATATGATTTTCACCCCTGGACCTCCATCCACTCCAAAACATAAGAAGTCTCAGAAAGGCTCAGCATTTACCTACCCATCCCAGCAGTCTCCAAGGTGGGGCATGTGGTTTCGAACTGATGAACTGTTGAGCACAAGGCCTGTACAGTATATCCATCCCCCAGTCCCAGCCTGGGTCTTTTACATGGGTATAGTTTCATTCCCTCCAATGAAATAAACAGAGAATTGAAAGGCTGATTCAAGTTGTCACCATTTGAAAATCCTCTGGGCAGATAACTTCTTGTCCCTATTCCAAGAACACATAAATGATACTTATTTTTATGGTTTTTAGGATAGGAAATAACCAGTTTTCTGGTTATAAAGCAAGAAGAAATCCATGAGTTTTGTTGAAATAGAGAACATATCTGCTGTTAGCGGAGCATATGCATTCTTTGTCAGCTCATTTGTCTTCTCCTGTACAGGGAGTGCCCTGAGGGTCAACTGATACCCCTTTCAAGAGTGAGAAAAGGCATTCAGATGCCAGGGCCTCTAACAGCACTGTAAATCATGAAATTCTCACTCCAAAATGTGTTTTAAAATTTTGAGCAAGTGTTGTCCTTTGTAAAGTTCATTGTTTGCATTTGCACCTTCCCCCCCCCCCCCAAAACATCTTTAATGCAAACAAGACAAGTGAGTGAAGAACGATTGTGAACTTCTTAGAAGGAAGCTTGTTGGGGTGAAAGAAGGCATCTTCAGCCTTGGGCTTGGCATGAAAATAGTGGGTCCCAAGGCTGCTGATTCTTCTAGTGAGAATAACTGTTCCAATGTTCTGTTGTAGCTAATGTTAACAAAGAGTCCTGATTTCATATCATCCATTTTTAAATAAATATCTTGTAGAGAATTCTACTCTTATAAATTTCTATTTATTTTATTTTAATTGATTAGTTAATTAATTTGGAGGCTTTAGAGGTATTGGTTTGATTTTTATTTTTGGGACAGTGTCTCACCACATAGCATAAACTGGCCTCAAACTATGTAGCCCATACTGGTTTTAAACCCATGCCAGTCTTTCTTCTTTGGGATTGCAGGCATGCAAAACTACAACCAACTAACAATTTCCTCATTTTCGAGATGGTGTTTGAGGATGTTTTAAGAATTTTTCAGAGTCCAGCACGATAGTTCACACCTGCAGTCCTGGCTCTTGAAAAATGGACACAGGAAAGGTCTTGAGTTTGAGAGTACCCTGAGGTAGAGAAGAGATCCTACCTCAAAACAAACAAAATTAATATTTATGTGGCCCATTTCCTATGAATTCTCACATGTAATGTTCTAGCAGACCTCCAAGGTGGGTTCTTTATATCACTCAGATCATATATAATAAGAGCAATGTTGGAAGAAGGAGACCACTTGTTTCCAAGCTGCCCAACTGCTTAGACCTGAAAATAATCACACAGGAACCGTATTAATTAAATCACTGTTTGGCCCATTAGCTCTAGCTTCCTATTTGCTAACTCTTACATCTTAATTTAACCCATCTCTATTAATCTGTGCATCACCACAAGGTCGTGGCCTACCAGCAAAATTTCAGTGTATCTGTCATCTGTCTCCAGCAGCGTCTCTATGGCTTCTCTCTGACTTTGCCTTCTTCCACCCAGCATTTAGTTTAGTTTCCGCGCCTAGCTAGATTCTGCCCTGTTATAGACCCAAAGCAGTTTCTTTATTCATTAATGATAATCACAGCATACAGAGGGAAATCCCACATCATAATGACACTAAGAGATATTAATTCCTGAAGTCATAAAACTAGTAAGAGAAAGTGTCTGGTTTTGACAGAAAACTGTAACTATGAGAAACTTGTCTCATGAGAATTTGTAATTTAAGCAAACATTTGCCCAGAAAATAGGTGAAAGGACATTCAAAATTTTCCCATGCTCACTAATGAATTTTAAAGCATCAAATTGAATGTACCTATGCAGGACAAATAAAACACAGTGGGCTGGATGTAGCAAGAGACCACTAATTTTTGAAATTTGCTTCAGTTGAAGACTGTTCAGATGAAGAAATAACTTAGCAGAGACAACAGCACAGGAGAGAGAAAAAAATCAGCTGTCAAGAGAAAGTCCAACTCGAATGGATTTTAGCAACAGCAAGTGTCTCTGAAACATCCTATCTCCACATGGTATAAACATAATGGAATGAACTAGAATTTATGCAGTTCATTATTGTACATAAAGAGAAAATACAACCTTTCCCTGGTTCCTGCCATCATCATTCCAGCAATGTTTTCCAGATTCAGCTGGTGTTTGCCATTCTAAACGAAATGGACCAGATGAAATGTGTGTTCATACTCCACATAATTTCAGAGATGAGACAATTGTTCCTTCAATCCCACAGGGTAAAAGCTCTGAGACTGAAAGGTAAAGGAATTTAATTTAAAGGAATAAACACTCTAGGCATTGTTAGATACTTGATAAACCTCAACACAGCAAAGCCTCCTTCCACTACTTCCTGTTTGTTTTCATATCGTCCTGCAGTGAAGGCAAGCATGCCATCCACAGTCCTGACTAAGTGTGTCAAAATAACCCCCTTTGTCAGCATGTGTGAGAACCATGGTCCCATGTGTATGGTCTCCCAACTTAGAATGACTTTGCACAGTGAAAACGGATGCAACAATCTTATGGAATTGTGTTTTTCCCTTAGGAATGAACCATATGTAGCCAGGGCAGCCACATCAGAAACTGAAGACCAAAGCATGATGGGGAAGTTTGTAAAAGTTGAAAGACAGGTAAGCCTCACCAAAATGATAATATGTAAACTTCTTTTCTTTTTTTTAGATTTATTTATTATTATTTTATGTGTTTTGCCTGCACATATGTATATGCGTCATGTGCATGACTGATTCTTGCAGAGGTCCCTGGAACTGGAGTTGTAGATCTTATGAGCTACCCTGTGGATCCTGGGAACTGAACCCAGGTCATACATAAAAACAACACTTGTTCTTAATTGCTGAGCCATCCTTTCAGCTCCATATAACTTATTTTCAGATTCCATTTTATTCATATGGAGATCAGGCATAAGAAATATCACCTACCACTATAAAAAATATGGAAATTAATCCCCTAGTTTTGCTTTTACTGGCTGGATGATCACCTGCAAGTTAATTGCCGTTTTGAACCTCAGGTTTGCTTGTCTGTCAAACGGAATTAAATAGATCCTAAAGTTGTTGTGAGGACTAAATGAGTTGACCCATGGGAATTACTTAGAATGTTAGCTGTGTGCAGTGAATAGACAACAGCTGGTCACCGCTGTCCACTTCATGCTTCATGGTCGCCCCTTAACAGATGTTAGCTCTCTGCCCATGGTTTCATGTTCCTTTCTGTTCTCTTTTGCTCTAATCCCAATATATGGGTAACCTTCATTAGGTGGCCTAGCATGGGGCCAAGTTATGGGAAGGGCCATTTGGAGTACCAAGAGAGGCTCACTCGCTGTAGTTCAGTAGATAAATGACTCTATCATTTCTCTCCAGACTCATATCAACCCTTTTATCCACCCCCTAAGACTAGATCCATGAAGGGGAAATGGAAGGAGATCTCAATGATTGGTCTCTTGCTTCTTATTTTTTAGTTTTAAAATATAATCCTCGTTCTCACATGTACTGGCTCTATGACCTTTCACAAGTTGTCATCTCTCTGGTCACTGTTTCATCACCTGTGAAGCAGACATTACAACAGCCTTCACATTGTAAGGTTGTGATAATAAAGTAAGTCAGTAAAGTTCATAAAATAAAGTTGCATAGCTGCTGCCAAAGTGTCCCTTAAAGCTATGGCTTAGATGAACCTTATCTGTGACCTGTCCCAACTCTCACAACCTCATCTTTCCAGTGAGGTTATTTCCTTCCTTGATTTGGTGAACTGTGAGCTATCTGAGGGGAAATATCACATGCAACAATGCACACCCTTGTGTATATGCACCAATGTTAATCATCATGGAAGAAACATCTCTATTATGCATAGATGCACGCACACTTGTATATTCGTGCTGACAAACATTCAAACTTAGGAATGCCATAACCAAAGCAGAAGCAGCTTCCATCATTGCCTGCAGGATCCTATTGGGTCTCTAGGTCTGTAAAACTCCATTAATGCCGACACTGGCCTCCAGAACTTGCATTACCAGGTATTAATAATGGACACTAATAACCATATCCTTGCATATGAGAAAAGTCTCAAAAAACAAGAACTCCACTCCTTCACTGAGTTAGTAATATCGCCTCTTCCAGGAGAGGACAATGAAAACCTGGAACACTTACTTAATCTCAGCCTGTCTGTGGGATTCTGGTCTTTGATGCCAGATGACCTCCTTGCCCATTTCTGCATGGGTGTTGATATATGCATGGGACCTCCCAGCAGACATTGTGGAGCCATTCAGAGCTGCTGTTATTATTGAGACCTGCAAAGCACCGCTTCTGAGAAGCAATGGCTGAGTGACAGTGACCCTCATTCCCTGAGGAGCAGTGAATCCAGGTGCTTATGTTTTCCAGGTTCACGACATGGGGAAGAAACTGGACTTCCTTGTGGACATGCACATGCAGCACATGGAACGCCTGCAGGTCCATGTCACGGAGTACTACCCGACGAAGGGGGCCTCGTCCCCAGCAGAAGGGGAGAAGAAAGAGGACAACAGGTATTCTGATTTGAAAACCATCATCTGCAACTACTCAGAGACAGGCCCCCCAGACCCACCCTACAGCTTCCACCAGGTGCCCATCGACAGAGTCGGCCCCTATGGGTATTTTTCACGTGACCCCGTGAACCTGACCCAAGGGGGACCCAGTTCGACAAAGGCTCAGCCCACCCTTCCCTCCTCGGGAAGTACATATGCAGAGAGGCCCACAGTTCTGCCCATCTTGACTCTTCTGGACTCATGTGTGAGCTACCACTCACAGACAGAACTGCAAGGCCCCTATTCGGACCGCATCTCACCCCGCCAGAGACGCAGCATCACTAGGGACAGTGACACGCCTCTGTCCCTCATGTCCGTCAACCACGAGGAGCTGGAGCGGTCTCCAAGTGGCTTCAGCATCTCCCAGGACAGAGATGATTATATGTTTGGCCCCAGTGGGGGATCGAGCTGGATGAGGGAGAAGAGGTACTTGGCTGAGGGGGAGACGGACACAGACACAGACCCCTTCACGCCTAGTGGTTCCATGCCTATGTCATCCACTGGGGATGGCATTTCGGATTCTATATGGACCCCTTCCAACAAGCCCGCTTAGAAGGGGTCACTGGATGACTCCTGGTACTGTAGACAGACTTTGTACAGCTCACTTACTCTCACGCCTAGCACTTACAATGGTGTAAGTGGCTGTGTCAAGCGCATGCATGTGCGCGGTGGGCCCCCTACAAGCAGGGGCTTCTCACAGCCTTCTTCCTCCCTGTGTCACTGCAACAGAGTCGCTTCCTTTTCAGCATGGTTTGCATGACTTGACACTATATAAACGGCACTGTTAGTCTCTTCTAGATACACCTTTACCTGCTCTTCTTACTTTCAATCATGATCGAACAAGTACAGGGAGACTTACTGGTGAGCTGTGCTATTTGTTTGGTTGGCTGGTTTGGGTTTTGATTTGGATAAACTGAGAGCAGAGTTTAAGTTATTTCTAGGCTCACTTCCCCTTTGTGTAAAAATGCTCCAGTTAAATCAACTGTTTTCTAAAGCAAGGGAATAATTTTCTCAACCAAAACATACAGTGCATTCCAATGAGGCTGGAGGACAGGAACAAGATAGTCAATCAACACCCAAAGCCAAGATTTTGAAAATTATTTCACTAATGGAAGGCTGGTTAAATTATTTAAACACTCCCAAAGGGACTTGATCTACTTCTTTTACAGTACTGTGCCTCAGTTTGCTCATCTGTAAGATGTTGGTGATCCAAAATATAACATCACACATGCTTTGGATTGGTGAGGAAAAATCTTCCATACATACCACAAACACAGAAAAATAGTTCCCAATTTATGTAGCCAAAGATAATGAAATTTACCAAAAGTGGGATGCCCCCTCTAGGCAGGAGCTATATTTCATGTCTTCAAAATAAGATTCCAACCCACTCTTCTGCCTGTACTTGAATCCAAAGTGGAAATTAGAATCAAGAGTGATTATCTTTCCAAGTCCTCTATTTAAAAGTGGGAAGTTTGGGCACAAGTCAAGTGACATTCCTTGAGACACTTGGTTGTCATGTGTAGAGTAAGGACTCCAAGCCTCTGCCTGGTGATGACTCACTTTTTGCCTGAGTTTCCCCTCACATTATCCCATTTGCACACCGGATGCAGAAATCGTGCCGAGACACCAGCACTCTTTATCCATGAAATATAATCTCCACTCTTTATTCAAAGCAAGGAGGATATCTACTTTGAGCACAAAGCATGCTCACGTGATGCTTTGTATGTGGGATCCAGGGTGGAGAATACAAACTAGTTATGAATATGCAAATAGGAAGAATTCCCAGAACCATTCACTTTTACTCTCCCCTTCCCCCAGATTTTCAAAATGAAAATATTAGAACCACCCAAAATCAAAAGAGCTACTGGAGTGTCAGCCAACAGCCTAGAGATCCCTGCCCTACTACTGCAGGAGGATGGATACTAAGCACAAGCCACCCCGTGGCCTCCTGGGAGGTATTGCTACATGCTGCAAACCTCTGATAAAAAAAAAAAAAAGGTTGGACTTTGGCTATTCTTGCTAGATCACTATGCCACAATATTAGTGTCTCAGTCTTCTCACGTATCAAAACACTGGTTTTAAATCATTGCCATGGTGACCATGAAGGTGATAAAAATACCCTAAATAAGTGTTTATATGCCAATGCTGTTCGCTGTGTTGTCAAGATCCATAGATACCATGGCAGACATCTGGCTGATGGTTTCATAAACTCCTGATCCTAGGATCCTGCCCTGTGTTGGGTAGAGATTCCTCAGCAATTGGTTTCTTTCAATCCACATGCTGAGATTGGTCCTGTACAAACTGCTGAGAAGAAGTAATGGTGAAAGCTTGTCCCATGATAGAGGTACTTAAATCCAAATCTTTCAATTCCACAAACCGTGACAAGCACTGAGAATGGTAAGGAGTACCTTTCATGGATGGTATCATGAATGGAACCTTTAAGTTCAAGGCAGGCAATATAGTCACACACATTGGATGCAGACCTTTGTGGTTTGCAAATTGACTTTCTGACAATCTGAAAGACAAAGGCTGTTGCCCTGTCTTCCCAGTTCTTTCAATATGACTTCACTGGTACCACTGGGGCTATAAGAAAACTTACACCTCTTCCAAGGGACTTGGTTCTTGAATCTGACCTTCCTAGAATGTTTTCATCAGAAATAGGTATACTATCTAGCACCAAATATATGCTACCCTTCTTTATATGCATGGGATTGGGGAGGAAGTTAAAGAAAAATATGTACCATGTGATTTTTCCTAACATATTCACATTCCTTCAGAACTTCCTAGCATTGGTATATTACATGTGGGTGCATTTCTTCAGGAGTTCAGTGGAGTTCTTGGTCAAGAATTCTGCGAACTGAAGCTTGCATTGTCTTGCAAGCAAGCTATAAGTAGGCAGTCTTGTTTTCCTGATTCAAAATCAGAGGGGCAGAAATTAGTTTTGTATTGATTATCAGCTTAGCAGAGGTCAGTTGTCTGTATCAGATAGGCACAACCAAATACGTAGTGTGTAGAGGACTGCTGTGAAGAGCCCATCTAAGGGAACAAACAGGAGAAAGAGGTTCTAGAGTCCTTCTACCGTAATATTCTTCTACAGAATTCTAGACCAGCACGCAAAACCTACTCATCTAAACCTGTTGGTACATTGCATGATCACCATGGCTAGCACTGAGGATGCAGAAGTTCTACTCTTGGGGATGAAATGATGGTGTGTGTCCCATGAAGATCTTTTGTAAGTCAAGAAATAAATAATCTAAGGACAGAATAATCCTAAAGAATTGGATAACATGTACCAAAAAATCATACAAGTAGCTCTGCAGTGTGCTGAGGAGATCCCAGCAGTTTTTGCAGAAACCTAGAAATACTGACAAGCTAATTCCATCACAAGAACTGGGAATCATTTTCTCAGATAAAAGGATAATCTCATTTCATATATTTGGCTGCAATGCTTTAAAATATAGTACATTTAAATTTTTAAGAAGTAGGGCTGGAGGTATAGCTCAGTGGTAGAGTACTTGCCTACCGTACAGAAAGTTCTGGCTTTGATTTTTAGCATGGCACAACACACACGCATACACACACACACACACACACACACACACACACACATTAGGGGGACATATCTTAGCAAGATAAAAATAAATGAGAGAAATCAGTGCTAGTTAAAGGGTAATTATATTAGGCTGAATAAAAGTCAGTTTAAGTGTAAATTTGATTGTTAAATATTATTATACAGATAAATGCTAAAAACATACAAAAACTGAAATTGTGGGAGAAAAAGAAAATATTGAATTGAGAAAACTCTTCAATAACTATTTTTAAAACGTACAATTCAGACTTACTAAATATGACACTGATGTTTTGAAATCTTGTTTTAATGAAGTAAATAAAAAATACCAAAGTATATAGGTAAAACCAAACTAATTAACTAACAATTATGCATATTATGTCTTTTGTGTACAAAGCAGGTCCTAGACATCGTAACTCAAGCATAAGCACCCTTTGAAAACATGACATATCAGAATCTACTCACAATTTGCCAAAATAATTCTCATAATTTTATGCTACTCTGAGAGTGTAATAAATAAGTATTTATTTGGTTATTCATTTAGCAAGATTTATGAGGTACCACTGAACACCAAGGATTGTGCAACAGAAATACAGAGATCAGGAATCCAGTTTCTGTTATAAGAAAGCTGGTGGCTTCAACCGTCAATGATCCTTTTAGACTTTTCCTACCTGATTTTGTATCTGCAGACAACTGTCCACTAATAGTGCCTCCCAGAGGGGAGAATTGGAAGTTCAACACAGAAGAAACTGGAAGCAAAGGCACTGAACCAAAATGATGATGATTCTGTCGCCTCCGGGAAGGCAGAGATAATTGAATGGGGAATTTACTTTTGGGTTAATCATTTTGGACTCTGTAACACCCAATAAGTGATGTAAACATGTGGGCTCTGAGAAAGGTTCCTGGAGAAATTAGCCTTTTCCATATCCCCGTTGCACTGGAGGCCTGGCAAGTAGCTGAGGCATCTGTCTCACCATACTGACCAAAAATGCCTTGGTACATGTCATGGCAAAACATCTATTTGAAAAGAAAAAAGTCACTTTGCCAGTGAGAATCTGCAGATCAAAATCCTTGGAGGGAAGAAAAGAGATGATCCCAGAAGTCAACTTTACTTTTGACAAGGCTGCCACATCGACCCTGATTCCCACAATACATTGCTACTCCAGATGATGCTGCATAGGATAGACCCTCTTTGGTTCTCATGAATATGTTCCCAAGACACCCAGGACCACTGATATTTTCATTGCTTTAGAGTTTGAGAGTATCCTTAAGAATTTGTCTTCACTTCTCTTCAAAAGCATGCTGATGCCAGCATGAACTTTAACCTACATATGCTTTCTGCGTCCAAAAGAAATTCAAAATTCTCATGCTGCTTTTACCCTGTTCATAACTGAGCCATCTGTACCCTAAACATGGCAGCAGATAGCAACTCAGTAGTTCCCAGCTTCAGAGATGTTAGAGACTAGAATACTTATGAAGCTTTCATAGGTTTTGAAACCATGTAGTGATGATAACGTCAAACAAATGAAAAGGATATTGAGATGACTTGTATAAAAATTTGAGTTTTGAGACATTCAAAACTATTTCTATTTTAAATTTCAAGTGAGACAATCAACTCTGTGTAAAACCCTTAGTACAGTAACTGGTCTGTACCAAACCTGTCCATGGTTATTCATGTCTGTTTTTACAGTACATGTATGCTCCATAACACTGATTACTGATATTACTTATGGAATCTTAAGTTTACAACAGAAAATATTTTTTTAGGAAAAAAGAAGCTGGTGGAGATATAATCCAAATTATTGCATGATAAAACTAGGCTTTTTTTTTCCGTTGCTCTTTAACCATGTACCTGTCTGCAGCATGATTGTTTTCTTTTTCCCCATCACAATGTAGAAGATAAGGAATACTGGAAGGAGCATTAGGAATGCTGGTTCTCGGTAGGTATGTGCTGAAAGTGCTGTTGAACAGAGTACCAGATGTAGCCATATTCTCTTTTAAAAACTACTTATAGGAGATATAGGCAAAGAGAAACTAATTAAATATGATAGGAAAGTCAACTGTTGCCTGATGGCTACCAGTAGCACCCTTTCCGTGAATGGGACATCTTCAGGAAAAGGGTCCGAACTTGTTCCGATTCTTCCCTGTGGATGTGATCTCAGACTTCCATGGTCTCATTTCAGTCTCATATCTCTGATCCCTCTAGGATCAGATGTACTTGCACAGAATTGAGGAGATACAATTTTACAGACTGTAAAATGCTCATAGCAAGAGCTTGGTCACTCATATTTTTTTAGGGCAGGGCATAAATGCTCAGAGGACAGGGGCCTTAACCAGGTCTCATGATATTGAAAATAAAGATGAAGTAGCAGAGTGAACCTAGATCTCAGGTCTCCTTACCCCTCGTCCAGATGTTGACACCAGAAGATAAATGACAATTTCCTGCCTCTCTTGAGAAACGGCTGAACCAGAAATAATGTTTGAGAGCATCACTCTAGGGGACTCTAGAATAGGACTGAGGTTCCCAAGTCCTGAAGATGTCCCTTCTTCTGAATATCTCATCATCAAAGGGCCCAGAGAAACCTCGTGTGGTTGAGTATAGTTAGGTAAAGACAGAAGAACACTGTTTCAACCATGTTCATGACTACTGTCCCCCACCATTATGACTATTCTTGCATTGTCTCTTATTGTGCCAAGATTGGACACAAGATTTGTTGATCCCATGGACCCATTCAGCTCCACACACACCTTCAGTTGTAGCCTCAGATAGAGGTCCCATGAATGAGACTTCTCTATAAATGTGATTTAAGTAGGACCTGATTTCTTTGGAATCTGACATGCCACAAGCTTCCAATTCTAACAAAGGTGTCGCTGTGTACCAGAGTATCTGGGTTTCATCTGAGCAGGCCTGGCTCTTCTTCCTTTACCCCAGGGGATCCCCATGCTTGCCATTTCATAGACAGACACTTTGGGCCCTTGTCAAAAACTTCCTACAATCAGTTCTGATTTAAATATATCATGCCTGTATAACTGTGATAACACCTTAGAGAATAAACTGGTCTTCATGACTCATGTGCAGATTGCTAGAATGTCCACTTGGGCTGTGCTTAGATTTGCCAGAATTTGACAGTGTTCCCCCATAGCTTGTATGAAACCCATTGGTAAGATAGGCCGTGTTAGTGATCCTGTGTTGGCTGATCCAAAGCTCCTGAAGGAATCAAAGAGAAAAGTGGTACATTATTGGATTGGTTTCAATTACTGCATTATTTTAACAATTGTCAGTCTGCCTGAGTCTTTTTTCCTCTTAACAGCATTCCTCTGGGATTGAAGTAAGTGCTAGGAAAATTAGTAATTTTTATCATAGTAAAAAAATGCAAAACAAAACAGATCTATGTAACCTAAGAATGGCTTAAGTTAATTAACCACACCTAGCCTGGTACTAAGGAATATACCAACTAAAATTGGAAACCTAAGAGTTCTAAAACCAAAAATTTGGTTTCAATGCTCTTTTCTCTAACTCTATCCACAAAACTGAGGTCTGGGATAGGAGAACAGTTCCCACTAAGTTCTCTATATTGCCAGCATCCTTAATGTAAACCCACTTGGGGGCTGTTATTGGCTGCACAGAAATTGAAGCTGAGAGAAAGAGAGCTGCCTAGATGTCACATATTACAAAAGAAAGATCTTGCATTTTACACAAAACCATGGACCTCAGAAGCTTATCCTATCCCTGCCCCCACACCAATTCTCCCAGGCAGTAGAACTGGTCCCCGGTCACTCTTCATGGTCCCCAAGAAGACATTTCCCTCCTCTGTGCAGTCAGTTTTTCAGTGAAATGATCGTGCGCCCACCCAAGCTCCCTAGAAAGGAAGGGTGACTGTGTCAGCTGCCCGCTGCTAGTCAGCAGGTTCTTTGAATGTTTCCACAATCCAGCTGTCGGAGGCAGAAAGTGATGCCACATAAATTATTCACAGGGTTCACATTGGAGTCCATTAGCCCTTGGAGTTTGGTGGCCACAGATATTCCCACAAACACCCTTGGTTCTCTGTCACCCCAGATCCTCTGTCACTGTGTTTATCTGAATGAGTTCAAATGTTCCCCAGTGTCAGCCAGCTGTCATCTTCTGCCTCTAGACTGCATCCTTATTTTAGGGCTTTGAAATATTGTGCGAACACAAACTAGCCTTTAGAACATGTTCTCTGAGAGGTCAAACGGGCAAATCAATTGTGTCCCCATTTCTCAATATTAAGAGAACAGGAATCTGCATGGACACCAAATGGATCTCCTAACAGGGTCATTCTTTACCCCCTCTGAATCCAGTTCCAGGGAATGGGAGATCAGCTTCAAGCCTCGGCCCTCCCTGGGGGCTAAGCAGAGGATTTGGACAGCCCTTCAGTCAAACAGCAGGCGTAAACAGATAGAGAGAGAACCTCTGCCAGGTTCCGAAAAGCCTAGTTAGGATAGATGCACGTTTTCAGATTTGCCAGTCCTTCCTGTTTTAAAGAGAGAAAAAAAATCTATCTCATGCTGATGGGCTATGAATTTTATCCCCTCCCCCTTCCTAATGTGCAGTGATGAGAAACACCTACTGTGGAAGAACAAATTAAGGTTTCCAGTGATATGAACCACTGTGTTTGATTTTAGGTTGTATTTTTCTTTCACCCCTTTTGATGGCATAGAATTCTGGTGCCTTGCTCCCTGGATTTGTCTCTGTGCTATGAGTAGGCTCTCTACATTCTGGCTTACACGGGAACACAACTATTCCACAAGTGCCCTTTAGTGCTCTTTATAATATGGTTTCCTGTAATTTTTAAACTGTATGTGTAATTTATATTCTGATTCTGTCCAATATTTGACAACTTTAATAGGTTGATTTCCATATATATATATATTATGCAAACAATTCTTACCTGATTTTTTTATGTTCTATCTCGAGATCAATAAAGATTGCGCCACTTATTAATAAGCAGATGTTCCAATGATTCTGTGAAAAATGTCTGAGAAATGCTTCAGAATGGCTCTTTTGGGGCTGTATTACTGAGGGTCAAAGGCACTGCAGAGAAACGCTACAAATACTCATGGCCAAACACAGCAAAGATCTATTTCTTGCCCAAATGAAATTCTAACATGGGCTATACTTATGCTAGCATGGAATAAACCCAGTTATCTCCAGCCACCAAGCCCAGCCAGGAAAGGAGAAAATGAGAAAGTCATACCATCCTCTAACTGCCTGCATTCAATGACTAGTTCTTTATAGTCACGTTTTCACTGACCAGATTTTGTCCCGTGGTATTGACAAAACTGCAATGGATATTGGGATTTGTAGTCTTCAGTAGATCTCAGCCTGGAGAACTGGTGTTAATGCTAAAATGTTCCCCTAGAAATGACTAAAGTTACAAAAATATGCATGACAGCAATTATCTTGCAGAATTTGGCAAGAATTGTCTTCTTATTGGTGATGTACATATCAATCGTGCCACAAGGACATGTGCTCAACTATGTTCATAGCATCATTGTTTGCTATAGCCAGAACCTGGAAACAACCTAAATGCCCCTCGACTGAAGAATGGATAAGGAAAATGTGGTACATTTACACAACGGAGTACTACACAGCAGAAAAAATAACGACATTTTGAATTTTGCAGGCAAATGGATGGAGCTAGAAAACATCATTTTGAGTGAGGTAACCCAGGCACAGAAACACAATTATCACATATACTCACTCATAAGTGTTTTTACAACATAAAGCAAAGAAAACCAGCCCACAAATCACAATCCCAGAGAACCTAGACAACAATGAGGACCCTAAGAGAGACATACATGGATCTAACCTACATGGGAAATAGAAAAAGACAAGATTTCCTGAGTAAATTTGGAGCATGAGGACCATGAAAGAGTGTTGAAGAGGAGGGGAGAGGCAGGGAGGGGAGCAGAGAAAAATGTAGCACTCAATAAAAATCAATAAAAGGGGGATGAAAAAAGATCTGACACAAAAAGAGAAACTACAAGACTTCTTTTCTTCCATTCAAAATTTCCACTTCCTCCCCTCCTCCCATTCTCCTCCTGCTCCCCCACTCACCCTCCTCCCTCCCTCTCCAGTATTAAGAGAGGGCAGGGTACCCTGCCCTGTGGGAAGTCCAAGGCCCTCCCCACTCCATCCAGGCCTAGAAAGGTGTGCATCCTAACAGACTAGGATCCCCAAAAGCCAGTACATGCAATTGAAACAATTCCCAGTGCCATTATCAATGGCTTCTCAGTCAGCCCCCATTGTCAGTCACATTCAGAGAGTCCAGTATGGTCACATGCTCATTCAGTCCCAGTCCAGCTGGATTTGGTGAGCTCCCATTAGAACAGGCAAATTGTCTCAGTGGGTGGAACAACCTCTCGTGTTCCTGACTTCCTGCTCAACTTCTCCCTCCTGCTCTTTGACTGGACCTTGGGAGCACAGTCCAGTGCTCTGATGAGGGTCTCTGTCTCTATCTCCATCCATCGCCAGACGAAGGTTCTATGGTGATATTCGAGATATTCATCAGTGTGACTATGGGACAAAGCCAGTTCAGGCACCCTCTCTTCTGCTACCCAAGGACCTAGCTGGGGACATCCCCGTGGACACCTGGGATCCCCTCTAGAACCAAGTCTCTTGCCAACCCTAAAATGGCTTCCTTAATTGAGATATCTTCTTCCCTGGTCCTATACCCGCCCTTCCTCCATCTCAACCCTCCCACTCCCCCAAGATCTCCCCAATCCTTCCCTTCTCCCTTCTCTCTCCCCCTTTCCCCTTCCCCCAACCCCACCCCCACCTCTGCCACCATGCTCCCAACTTTTGCCTGGCGATCTTGTCTGCTTCCAGTTTCCAAGAGGATTTATATATTTTTTCTTTGGGTTCACCTTATTATTTGGTTTCTCTAGGCTCGTGAACTATAGGCTCAATATCCTTTGTTTATGGCTAGAATCCACTAATGGGTGAGTACATACCATATTCATCTTTTTGGGTCTGGGTTATCTCACTCAGAATAGTGTTTTCTATTTCCATCCATTTGCATGCAAAATTCAAGATGTCATTGTTTTTTACCGCTGAGTAGTACTCTAATGTGTATATATTCTACACTTTCTTTATCCATTCTTCCACTGAGGGATATCTAGGTTGTTTCCAGGTTCTGTCTATTACAAATAATGCTTAATTTATGATACAGAATATGCTTTAAGATATAGAAAAGTATAAAATCAGAGGCATCTTTTGTAATGATAATGCCGCTATTATAGCAACCAAAGATAAGTTGTTATATATTACTATTGCATATTATATTGTTCCTGTGTATGTGAAATTAATAGGATTCACAAAATATAAGAAATAGTGACAGAATTGTAAAGAAAATTATGCAATTCAGAAATAAAGCTTAAGCTTTTAACATTTTTTTTAAAAAAAAGATGCTAGTGCTAATAGGCCAAGGAGCAATTTAATTAATAGTTTCTGTGTGGTTATTTTGGGGCTGAGCAGGAACAAACGAACAGGCTCCAACAACACACCCTCCAAAGGGGTCATGACCCACAGGTTGAGAACCCCTGATGAGACATCAGTGCTATTGAAGATTAATATAAAAATAGCATGGTTGGGTTTCTATTTCTCATAAGAGCACTGTGTCATAAAGGATATAAGAGATGAACAGGCGAGTAGATGCAGAAAGACTAGGGGAAGAGGAATGGAGCAGGTGGGCAGAAGGGCATTCTGATGAGTAAGTCAGTTCTTTGCCTGCCCCCAGGGAATGAACTTGGCTAACATAAGAATCCCCATTACAAAGGGTCTTGTTTCATCTCTGGAGCTGGACTTTTATTTAAAAGCCTCTCCAAAACTTAGTGCTGTCAGACATAGTGGGAATAAGAACTGCTATCCACCTAGCTCTTATGGAACATAGACATTTTGTTTTGTTTTGCTTTCTGTGATTTGTCTCATCTCATCTGCATGGTAAACCTTCTTGAGTATGGAACTGTTATCCAGCCCATTTTGTAAATCAGAAAACTGATGCTAAAAGTTTCATCATTTACCCAATGTCACTGAGGCAGAACCAGAATTTGAACTCAAGATGGCTGATTCCAGAACCTGGATTCTTGGGCATGAATTCATGAAGAACTTTCACTTGAAGAACCATCTGAGAAATTAGATGTGGACTACACCAGTTAACATCCATGAATGAAGCCTGCTCACTCAGCCTCTTCCTTTCGCTTCTCCAGCAACTTGAATGTGTGTGGCTCTATCACTCTGGGACTGACTCGGAAGAAACAAGTCACCATATTATTAGAGATGTTAAGGTGTGTGTGTGTGTGTGTGTGTGTGTGTGTGTGTGTGTGTGTTGTGTAGGTGCATGTGGACATGTATGTGGAGGACAAATGTTGATGTCAGGTGTTTTTCTCCATTGCTCATGACAGTATTTTTAAGACAGCTCTTTCATTGAACCTGTCACTCACAGATCTGACTAGATTGGCTAGTTGGCACGTCCTGTCCCCAGTTACACACATGCATGGCTGTGCCTGGCTCTTTGGAAGTTAAGATGTTAATACAGGGATCGTGTTTAAAGATTAGGCCAGGGTTTTACCGTGGAACAACAGAATTTCCCAAAGCTGGAAGCAATGAAGTACCTTTAAACAAAACCCTGAGCACTCCTACTCTTACAGGTCCCAGGGAGCTAATCTTTGCAACCTACTGGGTTTTGTTTATAGAGAGCCCCCTCTGAGAAGTTATATGAATTGGGCCAAACAATTGTTCCAGGTGCACCCAGGAGCCTGCTAGCATCTAACCTTTTCTGGCTGAAGGTTGCCCTTGGATGTTAAGGGGCACTCTCAGGTTACTCATACTGCAGCTGAATGAGCTTCAAGGTGCTGCGACCTTAGGTGGAGAAGTGGGGAGACACGGTCAATGAAGGTGGAGAGTATGAGGAACCATACTTCAACTGCCAGTGAACTGGAAGGCAGGCGGAATGGATCTGGGGCAGGCAGTATCAATATGTTGCACACAAGTCCTGTTTCAAATCCTGCTTGCACAAGGAAAACAAAACCACTCTGAGAGACAAATGGCAGTGTAGGACAGCTTTAGGCAAGCTGACGACCATTCTTAACAGAAGGATACCTAGTGCCGGGAGTCTCTTGGAACAAGGGCCATCACCAATGCTCTTAATCTAGGTCAGCATCTAGCTGCAAGGGAAGGACCTATGGACAGTTTGTGGCTGTGGGAACTTCATGCACCTTGCTGCCATGTCATTCCCCAACAAAACTCGGTCCCATGAGTATCAAGTGCATGTTAGATAGACCTGAAAATTTATATCCCTGAGAAAATCCCTTTCTATCTGCATAAATGGAGCAATAGCTCTTTCATAGCCTCCCATCCTAGATGCTCCTGGGAATCTGCTATTGTGTCCAAGATTGTATTCCTACAATGAGCACTGACATCCCCACACTGGGGACGTGTAAGATATCTTCCCTAAGAAAAGTATGATTGTCCTGGATCCTGGCCCGTCCTCTGGTTTGAAAACATTCGTGGCAGGTGGTCTTCTGGTTCTGGCCAGATCAGTCTCAGGTGAGTTCAAGGCTAAGGGAATTAGCAGAGGCAGGAGGACAATGGGAAGAAATTGAGGTAACAGGGGTCAAGTCATAGAGGGCTGATAGGCTGTTAGCAGCTTTTATTCTGAGTCAGGAGGGATTTGGTGCAAGACTTTGAGCCGAGGATGATGAGATGTTATTTGTATTGAAAATGGCTTCTGTGGCTACTCTACTGAAAATGCCTGAAGGGAACAAGATATAAACAGGAAGGTTAGTCAGGAACAGTATCATGTTGGCAACAATTCATATGAAAACTGTGCGTACTTAGAGCAGCTGAGGACTATACGGACTAGAGAAAGGGTACAATGGGTTCAGTACTCGCCAGGAAAGTGTCAAGTTAGATTCATTGAGTTACAGTCTCCAGAACCCATATGAAACTAAACATAATATCACATATCTGTACTCCCAGCACTTCTCGAGGAAAATGGAAGGCAGAAACAGGAGTATCCCCAGAAGCACATGG